TTAGCCTGTATAGTCGTATTAATTTTGCAGGAATGCCAAACGCAGACATGGCATTAAACACCTCTGAACGGATAGGGCTGTCGAATGCGGTTTTATAGTCGACGAATAGGTGGAATCTGTCGATGTATTTTTCGTGATTCTTTAACATAATATGGCGCAGTGTAAAAATCTGGTCAATGGTGGATTTGCCAGGTCTGAAGCCGCGATTCAATAATGCCATTGACCATTGGCTTTAGTCGTTCACACAGCACGCTGGACTTTATATGCGATGGGGAGGAGACTAATTCCTCTATAGTTGGCACATATCGTCTTGTCTCCTTTTTTGTGCACGGGACGCAATATGTTGAAGTTCCAATTATTGGGCATGTATTCCTCTAGCCAAATTGTACTATTCAGTTGGTGCATGCTCCTGATTAACGTCTGACCACCAGTCTTGAATAGTTTGGCTGCTAAAATATGGGCACCTGCTGCTTTATTATTCTTCAGCCGATTTATTGCTATTCTGACCTCATCTTGGCTAGGTGGTATGCAATCTATACCGTCATCTCTTATTGTCTCAGGGATATTTTCTTCACCGTTACTATTTGATATCAGAAGCTTTGTAACATGCTCCTTCCAGACCCTCAACACGCTGTTTGTATGTGTCACCAGGTTTCTTTCTTCATCTCTACAGGAGGATGTGCCTGCACCAAAGCCTTCGGTTTGGTGTTTTACTCGTCTTCTTCACCCTTAATATTTGATATCAGAATCTTTGCAAAATGCTCCTTTCAGATCCTCAACACGCTGTCTGTATCTGTCGCCAGGTTTCTTTCTTTCCAGGAGCGTGTGCCTACACCAAGGCCTTCGGTTTGTCCGACCACAGAATATGAAGCTATGATATGTTCCCTGAAGTTAGCTGTAGATCCCAATATTTGCCTTATGAAAGGTTGCATTCATTGTAGGGCTATGAAAGTCTACTTTCGATTAATCTACTTTTTTGTATTGAAAAGTCTTAAAGTCGAAGTTGACTTTTGATCATGGAGGAAATTCCAAAGTCGGATTTTCATGATCGGCTTTCGATTCGAGATTGGCCACGAGCCAATTTAGAAGTTGAAGTAAAGCGAATTTCGGAAAGTTTGATACTCCAGAGAAGGACATCATCTAGCCTAGATCTAACAATACATTTAAGCCATTTTTATAATCGTTTAACCCATTTTTATAAACGATGTCTTAATTTGAAATCAGTCCTGCTAACATGATTCTTAGGTATGTAACCCTGTTACCAATCGACATGGGAATTCCACTTTAAATCGTATTTCTTTTTTAAAATTGGTGAATCATTCGTGGCTATATTTTTTTTACTAAAAAACAAATATATTTTTTACAACTTTGCTACACATGCGATTACAACTATTTAAATATTCTCCGCGCCCTTTTCGACTCCCGTCGCAATAATACGTGAGTTTCCCACGGAAGTAGCCAAGTGCGGTAATAATTCATTAGTAACTACCTCATCATCGTACATAATATTTATTTTTGTTGTTATTATAAGTGTGCGACGTTGCGCGTTTCATTTTTTTACGATTATTTATTATTCGAAAGGTACTTTGGTCACGATCTTCAGTGAACTTGTCAGACACGAATATAAAAAAAGTAAACAAATTACTACTAGTGTTTGGAAAACTGTTCTCTGGTAGCTACTTGTGTTCGAAATTTGTTTCGAAAGGAAATCAAGTATAAAATGTTTAAATATATTTTCTTTGGGGGAAATAAATATAACAGTAACTGTAACATAAATAACTTGGCGTCTGACGAAGTTATAGAACAGGTCGATAGACATTGGCATTGTCACGTTTTTGATGATAAACATATATGAATATGAAATTCCCAACATTTTTTAAACGGAAACCCAAATGACTGAATTATGCTGGAAAGTTAGCTATCTAAGGGTGACAATTTCTTTCCTGAGAAATAATTATACCGTTAAATATTTCCCAAAAAAAGTGATATTCACTTTCATTAGCTTAATCGGCTGTTATAATGGAATTTAAAATGTTTTAATAATTTGTGTATGCATTCGATTAAAGTTAAAATTTATATACAAATTTCGATTTTTTCCAGAATATGATAATGATTGTTCTAAACAATATCTTAAAGATAGATTTTTTCATTAAGTATTCTTAATTATAACAACATTTTCGAAATGTAATCATACAAACAGCTTTTCTGAAGCGGCTGCTTAATTTAATCTGCCTTGGATCCAAAGGAAGTAGATGAACGAAGTAATTGAACCTAGTACCGATCGTTCCATTTGCGGAATAGTTTCTTTTGAATTAGTTCGTTCCAGAACATCTTAAGCCTAAAAATCGAATGGCATTAGGGCATAATTTGCCTTAGCGAAATACTACAAAGATGTTGCTTTCCAAAAAGAATAATATCTTGAAAAATGTGTAGCAATCTGTGCCAGAAGAATGCAGACATGATGTGCGTGGGTTTCCACATTTCAAAAGTCTTGTTATGGCGGCAGGCAAAAGATGCAGTTATAATAAATTATTAGAACTGCCTCTTGGGGAAAAGAAATCCGTTGGAGAAATAATCGAAGTTGACCGGCATATTAGCAGTCGCAACATCGCCCAGTCGAACATTGAAAGCGGTAACAGCCACCTTTAAACAAATTGGGAAGGAATCTGAACAAACGGCGAGAAGACCAACTCGCAACACGTCCAGTAGACTCGGACCAACTGTGGAACTTGAGAACTACAGCTTCGAGGTAGTCAAAAATTTTATATACCTTGGTACCTTTACAAATAAAACTAATGACATCAGTTTTGAAATTCGGAGAAGGATAGTGTTGGTCAACAGATGGATATTGATACGTAGTGGAGCGCAAAAGTCGACTTCTCGATTATTGTCTCTGACCAAAAAGTCGACTTTTAGTCTTTTCGAATTTTGTATTTGACTAAAAAGTCGACTTTTCGATTTTGTCAATCCTGTTCGAAATTGATTTTCGACTCTTACGGACTAAAGCAAAATCGACTTAAAATTTGATTTTTTAGAAGTATTGTTGTCAACAGATCAAATAAAGTTTTGGAATGCAAAGCATGTATTTATAAATAAAATCGAAAGCCGATCTTGAAAAGTCGATTTTGCGATTTTCTCAAAGATCAAAAGTCGATTTCGACTTTTACACTTTTCAATACAAAAAGTCGAGTAGTCGATTTACTTATCCCTACTCTTGGAGTGTTTGAGATAACAATTCTCCGAAAGATCTATGGGCCGATCTTCGTCGACGGTGAATATCGCCGTTGAATGAACCATGAGTTGTACCAGCTATTCTCGGACATCGGCATTGTTAGACGTATTGAGCTGCAGCGACTACGTTAGCTAGGTCATGTTGTAAGAATGGATGAAGATGCCACAACCTAAAAGGCATATAAAAGCGAACCAGCTGATGGATCACGCAGTAGCGGAAGGCCAAGAATAAGATGAAAAGATCAACTGGAAGACAACATTGCCGGATATGGTCTTTCAAATTGGGAAAACTGCGCAAAAGGCAGACGCGCCTGGAAATAAACTCGGCTTATGGAACGAACAAGCCAGCTAAGCAAGTAACATCGCTCAGAACCATAAAACTGTTTTAAACCAATTACACAGAGCTGGATTCAAAAAAAAGCTCGATGTTTGGGTGCCACTCCACTTAACAGAAAAAATAGGACGGATCGAATGTCCATCTGTGAAGACTTGACCAAAAGGATTGAGATAGACCCATTTCTCAAACGGATGGTGACTGGGGATAAGAAATGGGTCACATACGATAACCCTGTGCGAAAACGATCGTTGTCAAAGAGAGGTGAAGCACCTCAAAAGGTGACCAAACTAGGACTAACGGCCAGGAAGTTTTTGCTATGCCTTTGGTGGGATTGGAAAAGTAATTATTTATTATGATTTGCCTCCATATGGCCAAACGCTAAATTCTGATCTCTACTGTCAACAATTGGACCGTTTGAAGATAACAATTGACCAGAAACGCCAAAATTGGCCAACATGTGATGTGTCGTGTTCCACCAGGACAACACTAGGTCACACACATCAACAGCGACTCGCCAGAAACTGCAGGAGCTTGGTCGGGGATCCGTCATACAGCCCGAACTTGACACCAAGCGATTATAATTTTTTCTTGCATGGCAATTTGTTTTTAATAACAAATTTGGTCAAATTAAATATCCATCGCCACAACAAAAATCTGCTTAGAAAAAGAATTGCTTCTGGGATGAAGACAAATGTCGAACCTTGTTAAATTTGAATTTAATTCGCATATGCAATTTCGGAATATCATCAATACAAATAGGATTTATAAACATATGACATTTGACAAGAATCATAGCTCAATATGCCTTATGAACCGCTTAACAAACTGCGAAATACACCGCATAAAGGTGGGTAGGTTCTCATTGGCTTTCCTTTTCATTGCAACACTTCGATCATTAAGCTCGACTCCGAAGAGAAAAACTAACTTAAAATCATACAATGATCACCGCTCTTGCAGGCAAAAACTTAAATAAAAATATAGATCACATATTCAATTCTTCCGGTTTCATATCCAGAATCCACCAAAGATGCTAGGTATGCCCGATCAATGAGATTCTGGGAAGAACTGTAAGTTCTGAATATAATCAATAGGCTTAACATAACCAGAGCGGCATTTGACAACAAGGTGTGTGGAGAAGCTCTGTCCTCGTCATTTTATAAAAAAAAACTTCAATTCCCCGAAAAATGAAATGGGTTGAAAATGTAATTCGAGAAGTCAGGTCATTAAAACGAAACTAACCCATATAAAAAATGTTACAAAAAATCCAATAAAAAAATTAAAACTATCCATGAAACATTTACGAAAATTAATATTAAAACATTTTTCATGTCTTCCGAAAGACAAATACAAATTTTAAATCCGATTGTATCATATTATCACTATTCGCATACATAATTAGATATTAATAGAGTTTCATATTGGAAAAACTTACCCTCAATATGGAACTTTCATTTAAGTCATTAAGTTCCTCCAGACTCTCTTTAATCGGATCATCTTTCACAACTTTTGTGGGAACGGCAAGGCCTAAAACAAAAACAAAACATGTTGTTAATACCAAAAAATAAATATCTATAAATCAAAAAACATTTTACGTTAAAAAAAACTGAAATACAAAGAAATCAAATCCCTGCATAAACAATTCCATTTAAATAATGTCAAAAAGAAGAATTATTCACATTTATGTGGTGGGTATTTACTATGAATTTATTAATTTAAAAGTAAATTATAAATCGTGTTGAAACAAAAAAAAAAATAAAATATTTAAGCCGATAAGAAGATAACAACCAACCTTCAATGGCCAAAGCCAGAGGAGGCGCACACACGGGCACTCACTCTCAAGAAACGTGTTTGGGTGGGTAAAAAAACAAGTGAATGAATAAATAGATGAACTGATTTCATTTTAAAATGTCTCATAAATAAAAATGCAGTAATATTTACATATTTACATTAAACAAACAGTAAAAAATGCATTCAGAGAAATGACAAATCTCAGCAGTTTTTTTTTATTAATGGCATTCTGTGAAAAGGGTGTTTGTGTGGTTAGAGAAATGTCTACCTCACATATTAATTAATTCATTTTCGGAGTATTGTTTTGTTAGAATATATTTGGGAAAAAGAAATCCATTATTATTTTTATATTAACTATAGGATTTTATTTAAGATGCTTCGACATGTCCGATTTGGGCCAAATATGCAAAGTTTTGTTGTTTGATTTGTTGCCATTTTAAAGGTAACTTCATAATGCCTCTCTCATAGAAGTCCTGCTCCCTATTTGCAAAAAAAAACTCTAGTAATCCATTTGCAAAATCCTCCCTAGATCCCAATTTTTTATCATTAAAGAAATTTTGCAATTCAAGCAACAGATGATAATAGGTTGGTGTCAAGTCCGGACTGTATGGCGGATGCATTAAAACTTCCGAAGTATCTGGCGAGTCACTGTGTGTGGCCTAGCGTTGTCCTGGTGGAACACGACACCTCTCCTGTTGGCCAATTCTGGCCGTTTTTGGTAAATTGCTATCTTCAAACAGTCCAGTTGTTGACAGTAGAAGTCAGAATTTAGCGTTTGGCCATATGGAAGCAACTCATAATAAATAATCTCCTTCCAGTTCCACCAAATGGATAGCAGAACCTTCCTGGCCGTCAGTCCTGGTTTTACCGCACAGGGCTGTCGTATGTTATCCATTTCTCATCTCCAGTCAGCAAGAAGAAGAAATGGATAGACCCATTCCGTTTGGCAGAGGCTTCGCAGATGGAAATTCAATCCATCCTATTTTTTCTGTTAATTGGTGTGGCACCCAAACATCGAGGTTTTTTTTAACCCAGCTTTGTCTAAATGGCTTAAAACAGTTTTATGGTCCATTTTTAGCTGCTGGGCGATGTTATGACTGCTTGACCGGCATTTCGATCACTTTTGCGATTTTATCGACATTTTCGACGACCGGCCTAATGGATTTCTTTTTAAATCTGACTATGTCTATGTCCGAGACGCAAAGCGGCCTATAGATCTTTCGGAGAAAGAAAAAAAATTCCGATATAAGCGTTAAAAATCTCCTAGCAGAATTTCAATGTCATGGCCAGGGCAGCTGCCATATGCTGCTTCTAGGCACTCGTAAAATATATCTTTGGTCTGTTCATCCTTGTCTTCCGTCGTAGCATGGCCGCAAATAAGACAGTTGTAGAAGAATTCGCTCATCTACTGGAGTGAATCTGAAGACAAGGTCTTTTATTCTCCTGTTAACCATAAATCCGCAGCCAAATTCATGTTTCGTTTAAAGGCAGCTGTAATAAAGCCAGTAATCGTCAGTCCCTTTCCATCGCATTTCCTGTAAAGCAATAATATCGGCTTTGTACTTCTTGAGTACATCCGCTGAAGCAAAAATTGCGCCTGTTCTGTACAACGTGCGCACTTTCCAAGTGCATATTCGCAGATGGTGGTCCTTTATACGTTTGCGGGGTTGTCAACATTAGGGGGTTTGGTTTTCGTTTTCATAGTATTGATTTTTTTCCAAGAGTGGGCATCTATCCCGACGCCTCAATCCTTTTTTTTTATAGTTCTTATGTGTGAACTCGCGATACATATCAGCTCACTATATTTCAACGAATGCTGAAAATGAGGACTGAACATAAAATTGTCTACTGTGTGAAAATGTTTGTCCGGTACTGTAAATAAGTTCAACATTATGATTTTGTGTTTTTTGTCTCTTTGTATCGTAAAATAGTTTTTGAAAAGAAATCCACTCAAAGAGGCTCCACCATATCTCAGTTGCAAAAATTGCATATACGTTATAATAAATGTCGTCATAACATTAGGCCCGTCTTGTGTTCTAAGTATGCTCCACGAATTCAATGTCTTCATGCAACGACTTTAGACTTTGTCACTTGAAAAAAATGTTTTTTTTAATTATCTCTTAACATTTTATTTGTGACAACAACAAAAAAATTTTGGTGTAAAAACTATTAACTTGTAGTCTTTAATCGTGAAATTTACAACAGCTTATTAAGAATTTAATGGTTATTCTGCTAGAGGTATTTTATGACATTTAGTACTTTGTTGGTGTTGTTGTACTTTTTTTTTGTTTTTTTTTTATAACAAGAACTGCATTCCACATAAAAAAGAAAAACATAAGACACACACCAAGGAGATCATAAACATGGATTAAAATGTTTGCTGTTTAAGGTCTTGTGTTCGTAAAAGGCCTGATTGCCTGACAGACAGGTGGACAGACGATTATAATTTCATAAAATAAAATAACTAAAAAAAGTCTGACATTGTCAGCAAAACTGTTTGTCTTTGTTGGTTCTGTAGAACCAACCAAATAGTATCAGTTTTCAAGTTGAAGGGTATTAAATTTTATTATTTCAAAAGAAAAAACGCCCAAGCTGTCACAACAATGAATACCGGCTTTTTTCAGGTTCCGACGACTCCAGTCGGTTAATACAAGGTTAAAACACCCAGAATGAAAGCATTTGTCTGATAACAAAAACTCGCCCAGATATCGTGAATCCAAATAAAATGATAACATTTTGATCGAACATGTACTTTGTTCGATTCTATCCAAATAATTACTTAGTCAGCCACCGAACCAGCCACCCACTCACCTCTTCACCTAATTCTAAGTAAATAAAAATAAATAAAATTTAAAACAGAAAATCGTGATAATTTTAGCAAAATGACAAAGCCAAGAACTGAGTAGTTCTCTTGGTATCCCACATTTACCGGGCTGGCCGGCCAACCGATCGTTCATTCATTCATGATCACTTGCGCCCAAGAATAGCCCATGTGACAAATGTTTTACGTGTAAAGTGGCTGGCGTACGCACCTCCTAGTGTGGAGGAGATATTTATGTTTTCTTATTTTCCATTCTAGCCATAAATGAGTCATTCGCCACAAAACATTATTGTTGTTGGCCGTGTTTTTTTAACCAAAAAAACAGTAGCCACTTATTTGGTCAGAGGCACTCACACACCCCGCCCATTAATTTCAATTTACAGTGAAATCGTTATTTTTGAAAAAAAGAACTCAACAATAAATTAAATCACATTTGAATATTAATGTACCTTTTATTTTTGAATATCTTCGCCCAAATTGATTTGAGAGCATTTGGAATGCAACAGGTGTTTGGGTTGTGTGTGTGTGTTTAATTTCGAAATGGTGTAGCCGCTGCAGGCCGCTGGATTGTCTGGCATTAACAAATTATATTTTATAATTTGATTTGCATTCGGAATATTAGTCTACAAAATAGATTTAATTCTCATACTGTGTATGAATATGTAAATCCCCTACTTTAATATTAGATTTAATTACTTATTAAATCCAATCAAAAAATATGAAAAACATTAATTGTAATTAAGACTGTTAATAATGAGCAATTATAAACATTTTATTCGAAATAGTCTTCAGAACGTGCTCAGATTGTACATCTAGGCCCTTATGATTTTATTTTAAATTTTGTATTTGTATTTTTGTTGTGTTAAAAGTGAGAAGTAGTTAATAACATGTATTAAATATTTATTTAAAAAAATGTTTTTTATGAGATAATAAATATATTTGTTTTGTGATAATAATGCTAAAGAAATTATTTTAATTTGTATCGTAAAAACAACAAATCTATGATATGAATAAATAATAATATTTGAAGAATTTCAGTACTAAGGGGGGACCCGGAAAACACTGACTTTCAAGACAGGGTATGTGGTGTATATGTTCGTTCTTCTTTTCGGCGGCGCATAATGATAGCTACAAGGAACGGCTCTGATTTGGTATATAACAAGACAAAGCCCATGCTTGTCTTGGTTCCTCTTTTATCTCAATTGTGGACACTGACCTAACCGCGGTGTTACCTGGGGTTGCTACTTTCAACACCCTATCTCAAAGTAGCTACCCCAGCTGTTATGTGCCATAAGAGCTATAAAAATGGGTTGAGGCCTCGGGTAGTTGTCCACACTCGAAAAAAACCCAATACTATGAAAAAAACATCGAAAAAGAAAACCAAATCCCCTAATTTTGATGATCCCCGCAAACGTATAAAGGAACACGATCTGCGAATCTGCACTTGGAATGTGCGCACGTTATACAGAACAGGCGCAGTTTTTGCTTTGGCGGATGTACTCAAGAAGTAGAAAACCGATATTATTGACTTACAGGAAATGCGGTGGAAACGGACAGGCGCAAGTAAATCAGGCGATTACGCACTGTATTATAGCTGTCATGAAACGAGACATTAATTTGGCTGCGGATTTATGGCCAATAGGAGAATAAAGGACATCGTTTCCACATTCTCTCCAGTAGATGAGCGAATTGCTACAGACTAAAGACATATTTTACGAGCGCTTAGAAACATCATATGACCGCTGCCTGCCCATGCCATTAAAGTCCTTCTAGGAGACTTTAATGCAAAAATTTCCACCGTCGGAAAATTCAGCCTCCATGAAGAAACATCAGTCAACGGCATGAGGTTGATACACTTGGCGGCAGCAAAAAACATGGTGTTAGCAGCACCAGATTCAAACATCTCGATATACACAAGGTCACCTGGATTTCTCCTGATAAAGCAACGAGAAATTAAATTGATCATGTTGTAATAGACGTTTCGATCGAGGAGCGAATATCGATTCGGACCATTACCTTGTGGCAACCAAGGTTCGCACTCGTCTTAATGTAGGAGCAAATATTCGATCTGATTTAACACGTTTAGAGGTGTTTAAAGCCATGTCGGCGTTTGGCATTCCTGCAAAATTAATACGACAATGCAGGATAACTTTAAATGACACAAGGTCAGCAGTTAAAGTCGGAAAGGACCTCTCGGAGCCCTTTAATACCGAACGAGGATTCAGACAAGGTGACAGTTTGTTGTGTGATCTGTTTAACATCCTGCTGGAAAAGGTTATACGAGATGCAAATTTGAAGGGAAATGGCACTCTGTACATCAAATACCATATGTTACTCGCCTACTCCGAAGGAATCGACATAATGGGTCGAACATTGCGAGCGGTAACAACCACCTTTGAACGTATTGAAAAGGAGTCTGCCAAAGTGAGACTGGCAGTAAATGGCGAGAAGACCAAGCTGATGGTATCAACGCGCAAGACGTCCAGTAGACTCGGACCAACTGTGGAACTTGAAAACTACATTTTCAAGGTAGTCAACGATTTTATATACCTCGGTACCGAATTAACAAATCTAATAACATCAGCTTTGAAATCCGGAGGTGAATAGTGTTGGCCAACAGAAACAACTCAAAAGCATGGTCACCTCTCGCCAGACCAAACTCACACTTTACATGATACTGATACTACCCGTGCTGTTATATGGATCTGAAGCATGGGTACTTACGGAAGCAGATGAGGCAGCTCTTGGGGTGTTTGAGAGAAAAATTCTCCGAAAGAGTGATATGCTTCAAGTGATGGTTCACGTAGAAGGGGGAGGCCACGAATCCGATGGAAAGATCAAGTGGAGGACAACATCTCGGAAAATGGTCTTTAAAATTGGATGAGATGCGCACAAAACCGACGCACTTGGAAATATTTTTTAAGCTCGGCTTATAGAACAACCGTTTTATCATAAGTCAGCCAAGTAAGTAATATATGACTTTAGCTGAATGAATGTCAAAAAAAACATTAGGTCCATGAACAAATTTAATGCAAGAAAGCTTTCTCCAGGTCACCTAGTATTATAAACAAAATCTTCTGGTCCTCTGTAGGAACATCTCAACTTTTTCATCATAAAAAAATACATCGATCCACTCCACTCAACACTAAATTTAACTCCTTGGAGCTATTTACTTAAAACGATGATCAACAACGGCTAATTTTTTTTGTAAAAAATCAATCCTCCACAGCTGGTGCGAATAATTTATGTGGAAAGGAAACTCAACGACTGAAACCGAACACATGTACTACACATGCGTATGAACAATGAAGAGCGAATGTATCCGAACGAAAATATAAAAAAAAAATTATAAGGAACAAAACCGCCAGACGGACAGGCTGGCAGGCAGGCATTCAACTTACCAAGATCAACAGCAGAGATTACCAAGAATAAAAATAGTAATTTATACAGTGTAGCTTTAGATGATTTCACCGGCATTTTGAGTAATTTATTTTTGCAACGAACAAAAAAAAAATAACGCGCTACAAATCAATAAATTTCAAGAGGTACACAAACACGCACACACTCGCGTACACCGACGGTATGACACAGAATTCAAATCGTTGAATTTTTCTGTTTCGAATATTTTACTTTTTTTTTATAAAAACGTTAAAAAAAGTGGCAATATAACACGGCTGTTAGCAAAAACTATGCAACCGCGATACGTTATCAATCAATATGCGACAGCTTTTAATATTTGGCTTTGATAAAAATACACGCACACACAATCGCTCCCAATTGTTTGCAGCAACAATAATCTATCAACGACGATAACAAATTTATTTTGCTGGGTTATAAAATAAACAGAGAAAATTCGTGTTTTTTGCACTCCACAACAAGAAAAAGGTAAATATTTGCTTAATACACTTGGTTTGCCTAAAGGGATTTGTTTTTTTGCTAAACAAAACAAGTCTGGGAAGTTTAGTACGTTTTTTTGTTCCTGTTTGTTTTTCTTCTTCTTTTTTTGTTTGCAATTATATTTTACGCGAAATGTCAAATGAATTGGAGGCAAGTTTCTTAACGTTTAGCCGCGACAGATCACTTGCTGAAATACACAACCGTTACGATCAAATGTCCACAGACAACTGTTTTCGCTTCGCTTTGTTTATATTGTCTTCGGGGGGAGACTCGCGTCGTTTGTTTTGCATTTATCTGATTAGTGTGTGGGGTTCTTTTTTTTTTGTAAGTAACCTGTTCCACCAGTTAAGATATTCAGTTGATGTTTGAGCGCCTCTTTCTCTCTCTCACACACACTTAACGGGTTTAAGAGAATTGATAAATGTTTACTGTTTTTAAATACTCAGAGAAATTATGTGAAAGAGTAACAGAATACGGTTAATTAATAGAGTGTTGCCAACTGTTTTGAAGAATAAAAAATCGTTTGTTGGGATATGTTTATTAATCAGTCATGTCACAGGAAGAAATTCTGATTGAAAGTGGAATTTATTTCGTATATAAAAAGAAAAAATATAACAAGTACGAGAAACGGTAAAGCTTGGAATACCCACTATTCACCATTCCCAACACATCTGTACATTAGTTGATAAAAAATAGTAGTGCAGTTGATCAATTTTAAAATGACATTCAAACAATCAAATACGGACATATAGTTGGTCATTGGTATACAAATTTTAAAGGATGGAATCTAAAGATCAAGAAATCGAACAAGGTCCCGAGAGATTTGCTGTTGCATTCTTGAATTTCTCTTGCTTACTTAGTTGGCTTGTGACAGAACGGTTGTTCCGTAAGCCGAGCTTAAAAAATATTTCCATGCGCGTCGGTCTTGTGCGCATCTCATCCAATTTAAAAGACCATGTTCCGACATTTTGTCTTCTACTTGATATTTCCATCGCATTCGTGGCTTTCCCCTTCTGCTTGGCTCGCTTTCAAATGTCTTTTGAGTGGGGGTATCCTCATCCATTCTCACAACATGACCTGCCCAACGTAGTCGCTGCAGCTCAATCCGTAAGACTATGTCGATGTCCGAGAATAGATGGTATAGCTCATGGTTCATTCGACGGCCATATTCACCGTTGACGTAGATCGACTCATAGATCTTCCGGAGAATTTTTCTCTCAAACACTCCAAGAGCTGTCTAATATGCTTGCCCAGATCCATACAACAGGTAATATCAGCGTCTTGTTGAGCGTGAGTTTGGTCTGGCGAAAGGTGGCCATAGTAGCATCTGTTGCTCAAAGTTATTAGTTTTGTTTATGGCGGTACCGTGGTATATAAAATCGTTCACTGTAGTTTTCAAGTTCCACAGTTGATCTGAGCCTACTGAACGTCTTGCGCATTGGTACCATCAGCTTGGTCTTCTCGCCATTTTCTGCCAGTCCCACTTTGGCAGACTCCTTTTCGAGTCGTTCAAAGGTGGCGGTTATCTTGGCTTGTGTCTGAACTTTCGTTCCATAAGCCGAGCTTAAAAAAGATTTCCAGGCGCGTTGGTCTTTTGCACAGTTTTTCCAATTTAAAAGACCATGTTTGGCAATGTTGTCGTCCACTTGATCTTTCCATCTAATTCAAAAGTATCGTTGAGAGTCAAAGCCAAAACGCATGTAATTAATGTATACAATTACAGCAAATAATAAACGCCAAATTGACATCATTGATTCCATGTGCTGGAATATAGAATTCTCTCCCATTTCTTCTCATTACATTAAATACTCCATATTTTCCTATTAAAACAATATACATTTTTATTTAAACTATTTTTAATTTTAACGATTATTCCACTTAAAAGATAATGTTTTTTGTCGACCAATAAAAAATTAATTTTGTTCATGTTATGTAATGTCAGGTGTGGGGTTCGAACCCACGCTCCCTCTCGGGAACCAGAGCTTAAATCTGGCGCCTTAGACCGCTCGGCCAACCTGACTTGTTGCTGCTTGGACAGAATATTCATTGAAAAAATATATGACGATACGCATACAAATATATTCTAATAGAAAAAAAGAACACATTCATATGTTGTCATAAGTGTGCCATCCCATTCCGTATGTGCCTTTTTTGGGTGGATCTGCGTAATGTTATTAAAATATTAGGCGCTAGCTAATAATAGAATTGCACACATATTTCAATACACGGAAGAAAATTTAGCATAGACTGAACATTTTTACTAATGCGAGGAAAATGGAAAAACAGATGAGTCAGAATAATATTTATTAAATTATTTATTACTTTTTTTTTAAACCAAAATGTTACTAATTATATGAATACCGAATAAAAATTGGCATATTTGTTCGATGATAATGAATCATTTATTAGATTACAAACCAAATTATTAAGAATTTTCGATCATGATTCAAATATCAGGTCCAAAACACAATTATATATAAAACGAGCACCGTTTAAGATAAAAAAAAAATATTTTTGTAAATTTTAATTATTAAAATTTTGTATGTGGAACCATAAAATTATGTTGCACATTTTTCCAACCACCCAAGAAAATGTATACGAAAAAAAATAAGTTCTTATTCAATTAATTTCATAATATGATTTATAAGTCTCAGATATTGATTGAAAACTTCATTTAATTCTGTTTAAGAGAAAACATTTTTTTGAAATTAGGCGCTTAACATAATTCGACTGTATATATGGACCATGTCCGTCCATCTTTTGTAACCACAAAGCAATTGAGATAAGGTGCGGAAATTCTGCATAGGGTTGTCTTTTGTCTGCATAACTCCGAAGACCTCCTCCGCAAACCATAGGGTATATCTGTCGGGAACATCATCAAGAATACACAATGTCAAATTACATCATCTTCGGTTCCTATTTTTTTTATAAACACATATCATCGGTCATAACTGGATTTACCTTACTTTCTATAATCAATTCGAACAAAATACTAGGATCTGATATCTGAATAAATTATTTATTGTAAAAAAATATCTTGCTATAATTCAAAAAACTATTTTTTATGAATTAAACAATCTAATAAGACTTCACCATTTCCAAAAAATAATTTCAAAGAAAATTCAATTCATCTCTATTTGGTGTATAATCCGGTAGTAATTCCCAAATCTTCATGCGCCAACGTTGTCTTCTCTCTTCTGTTTCTTTTTCCAGTTGTAATATTTGTGGTAATCTCTGCCAACAATCCAATACCTTCCACTTCAAATGCCTAAAATGAATATTGAATTAATATATGTAATTTAAAAACAAAACAAACTTCATTTCCTCCACACTCACCATTCATGATGCATTGTGGCCTGTTTCATTTTAGTTTCTTCAATCATTTTCATACGTTTGCTATAAGCAAACCATTTGCCAAACATCGATTCGGTTAATTTTAATTCATGATAATCGACGGCCACATGATATTTACTACGTTCTTGTTCGGCATAGAATTGCCATAAATGAAGATATTTTCTCTTCAATAAGTGTTCGTAAAAATCATCAGCTTTTTGACAGCGACGAGCCTTTGAAATACGATATATACTAAACCATGCTTGAAAATAGCTTCTTTTATAGAGAGATTGCCGCAACTCTTCACATCTACGTAGATTATCTCGTTTACGTTGTAGCAGACGTTTAAAACCCTCCATACCAATACGTTTGAGCAACAGACGCCTATAGAATTCCTGAGCTTTACGTTGATTTTCTATGTAACGTTGTCGTTCACGTTCCTTGATGATTTTAGCCATTTTCTCTTGGCGACGTTTTTCTTTGAGGGCCTCAATACGCAAGCGCTTGGCTTCTTCATCTTCCTGACGCTAAAATGGAATTTTTTAATTAAATTTTAATTTAATTCATATTTTTAGATTTTACTTTAGCTTCTTCTAGGGCCATTTTCTGTGCCTCTCTTTCCGCCTCCTTCTGCAATCGCCTTTGCCTTGCCTGTTCATGTTTTATACTACGTTCCAAAGCCCGTTCTTGCATACTTTGTAAAAATTTCGGCATTAACATAGCTTTACATTGTAAATTGGCCAAACGTTCATCTTCCTTATCGCGTAGATTTCCAATTAATTGCAAACACTTGGCTTTAGCCTTTGATTTAGCATCTCCCGAACGTATAACAGATTTTAATTCTGTTTTCAATTCCATTCGTGCTTCCCTTGCCTCTTCGGATAATTTACTCAGTTTAAGTTCCATTATTATACGCTCTTGTCGCTCCAATTTCAAACGTTGTAAATCTATGATATCCTGTTGGACTTTTATTCTGGAAATGGAAAAAATATATTTTTTTAGAACCGAAACTAAGTACCAGGGAGGCTCATTCTAATAAAAAAAGCAGATGTCAAGTGGTCGAAGAGGAAAGTAAATGGTCTTCTCTAATAAGTAAGTAAATAAAACGTGGTTAATTTCAACCGAGCTGAATTTGTTATACCCTCCACCTTATCCTAATGTGGATAATTTAAAATAATAAAAACGTTAACTGACACAAGGTCAGCGGTCAAAGTTGGAAAGGACCTCTCGGAGCCCTTCAATACCAAACGAGGATTTAGATAAGATGACAGTTTGTCGTGTGATCTTTTTAATATTCTCCTTGGGAAGGTAATTCGAGATGCAAATGTGATCAGAAATGGTACTCTGTACACCAAACAGCATTTGTTATTAGCATACGCCGACGACATCGACATAATAGGTCAAACATTGCGAACGGTAACAGTCACCTTTGATCGAATTGAGAAGGAGTCTGCCAAAGCGGGTCTGGCAGTAAATGGCGAAAAGACCAAGTTGATGGTATCAACGCGCAAGACGTCTAGTAGACTCGGGCCAACCATGGAACTTGAGAATTACATCTTCGAGGTAGTCAAAGATTTGCATATACCTTGGTACCGCCATAAATAAAACCAATTATATTAGTTTTGAAATTCGGAGGCTCATTCTAATAAAGAAAGCAATTTTGAAATACGTAAGCAATTCAGGAACAATGCAACTCTCGCCAGACCAAACTCACACTCTACAAGACGTTCATACTACCCGTGCTGTTGTATGGATTTGAAGCATGGGTACTTGCGCAAGCAGATGAGACAGCTCTTGGAGTGTTTGAGAAAAAAATTATCCGAAAGATCTATGGGCTGATCTGCATCGATGGTGAATATCGCCGTCGAATGAAGCACGAGCTATACCATCTATTCTCAGACATCGACGAAGTCAGACGGATCGAGCTGCAGCGACTACGTTGGCTAGTCCATGTTGTGAGAATGGATGAAGATGGTTCATCTCAAAAGACAAACCAGCTGATGGTTCACGCAAAAGGGGAAGGTCACGAATTCGATGGAAAGATCAAGTAGATCAACATGGTATTTCAAATTGGAAGAGCTGCGCACAATACCGACGGCCCCGAAATATTTTTTTAAGCTCGACTTATGGAACAAATGTTCTCTCACAAGACAGCTAAGCTGTACCAAGGAGATTTATTCTTATAAAGGCAGCAGAGGTCAAGTGGCCAAAGAGGAAGAGAATAATCTTCTAAAAAGCAGGGCATATGTGGATATTCAAAATATCAAAAATATACCCTATTATGGAGGCTGTGTCAAAATATGACCATACGTTGTAGATCGTACCACAAAGAACCCGGAACTTAAAAATGTCGGTTGTTTTATGAGATATTAAACATTTTTTGCGAAGAAGTTTTTTTATTCTCCAAGAATTCGGAATACTATATTACAGAAAATTAGAGACATTATGGTGTACATAAAAGACCAACAGAGGTTCGATGAATATGTTGTGACGTGGTTAATTGAGATTTAATCTCAGGACTTGATCTACATTTTTATAAAAACATTGTAACATGCAAAATTTGGTTCAGTTCGGTGACACGTTATTCGAATTTTATGGGAAATAGAAATGTTTATAATGGACCGACTTGAAATATGATCCTAGAAGATTTGAAAAGCTGATGGTATAAAAAGTAGTGTTTTTGGTCCAAGACCTACTTGTCTTCTCACTGAATACCAACTTCTTTCACAGAAAACCTTTAGTCTTTCAATTTTTGGCCATCCTTATTAAAAAGATAAGAAATCGTATTCTTCTCTCAGGATTCTATGGGCAAAACTCTTATCTTTCTTTAAGATGTCCTAATGTCCTTTATTTAGAAAGTCCGTTTCTTCACACAGACTTTTAATTTCCCATATATAAATTTTATTTTTATTTTACTTACTTATTCTGATATTTCTTATTGATTTTCAAATTCTCAATACCATTCGTTTTTGCCGGAACTAAGGAAGTGGAAAACTCCCCATCATCACCATCAGCCTGTTGTTGCAATTTTTCACATTTTTTACGACGACTTTTCTCCATACGTATTTTGTCTAAGAAAATATTAATTTTTCTTACACGATCAGCATGGCCACCAACATGTTCCCGTTCGATTTTCTCTACATGTGTGAAATGTAACCATTTCAAGAAATATCTACGCATTATAGTAATCCGGGAATGATTGCTTGTTTCAAATAGTTCTTCAATGATTTTATTTTGTTCATGATTTGAAGATAAATCATCTGCATCAGTTCGATCTTCGGTAGTAGTCGACGTAATGGAAAATAATACATTTTTACGTTCGTGTTTATCTTCTATTGGCCTTCTCATGAAAGTTGGAATTTTTCCCTGAATAACCAAGTCTCTACAACCCTGAGTATTTTTCTCATTTAGACTACTGCATGCAGTCAATGTTAGGGTATTATCTGGTGTATCCGTTTTTGCAGCATGACCATATGTTGTCTCAGTTTCGGATTTCGATGTTAAATTAGGGGATTCGTCTTTTACTGGCTCTTTTTCCTTCTCCTCTTCTTCTTCCAGTTTAAGTTCCATTAATGCCTCTTCAGCTAATTCAGATATTACGGAATCTATACCTTCACTGGTATTCGAACAAGTGGAGTTTTCCCTCTGAAATTGACAAATATTGACATCTTCATCGAATCGTACACAACGCAGGTGTTGGCCATTATTTTGTTCAATATTCTCTTTTAGGGGTTGTAAAACTTCATCTGTATTTGCCAAAGGACTTGGGGTTCGTTGTTGCGGAGTTTTCGAAAGAATTTCATCGTTTTTATCAAACAATAATATTTCCGGAAATTTTGCTGTAATCTCATCCAATGGGGTATCCAAATCTTTGGGTTCTTGTGTGGGTTCCTTTTCTTCCTCTAATTGCAGTTTTTCAGTTTCAGCATTTATTCCATTTTCCATTGTATTTACATCCTGATTCACATCTTGCTTAAACAATTCATGAACCTGCTGAAATGCTTCAATGGGTGTATTATAGAAATCCTCTATGTGACGCTGTGATGTTTCCAAACTATCCATAATACCCTGATTATCAATCAATAAAGAATGGATTTTCTTTTCACAATGACGATCACGTTTATTTTGTTTTTGTAAATGTTGGCGAAATTGTTCCAATTGATTTTCGATATAACGTTCCTCCACCGCAATATTATGGGATTTACAAATATCCAAATTTTTCGAATATGCCACCGTAGCCAGGGGCAATTTCCTGGGTATTTGTTTGAACTATGGAGAATTAATAATAGGGTTTAATATAATATTCAATTATCATGATCCTGTACTTACCATTTCATGCCGTAAATCCATTACCAAGACCGGATCCAATTTATTTTCCGGCCTAGTTGCACCATTCATTAAGTTTTGTTGATTCTTTCCCACATAGTCGATCTCTATGAAACGTTTCACAGTTTCGGTTTTAAGATTTGCAGAATTCGCACTGCCATGCCTTTTTCTTATACGATCCCATCTTGTATCCTTATTATTGGACGTTAGTTTATTTCTTTTAATATGCGTCATTTTGATTGCTCAATTTTTATTAAATATTTGTGTTTTCCCTTTCAATACTATTTTTTCTTTCATCAAAAAATTTATTTGTTTACTTCCGAATAATTGTTGTCAAGGAAACACTTTGGAAAGTGATGTGTTTAATGCCGGGTGGCTATAATTTAACGGCCGGTAAAATATCCCCTAACGTTTGGCAACTCTTCTAATCAGAAAACAGATGAGTTATCGGCGATAACAAAAATAAATCGAAAAAGGGATAATAATTTATCTCAATTGGTGTCTTCCCGTGATGCGATAATGTATATATCTATAAAAATCATAATACGAGGTATAAAACCCTCTTCTTTTTAAAAAATATAAAAAAAAACTATTTTAAGGAAAAAAATAAAGCCGGCCGGCAAACATAACCTATATTGGCAACCCTAAACACTTATCGTATGTGCGAGGCGATGACACACACACACACATCAATTGAGAAAACAGCTGATTTGTTCCATTGTTCGTTTAATTGTATTTCATTTTAAAACCGAAAAACCTCGAAGCTCATATCTTCCAGTGTCGAAATGTTGATTACAAGACCCCTTAACCTCTTAAAATGTGGTTTCCTAACAACAAAACACCTTTGGAACACACCACCAACAACAGCAAAAAATTCCAGCAATGCTTCCCGACAATTGTGGGGATACGTTGCCATTGCCTTCAATCGTGTCGATGTTGATCGTCAGCAATTAGTTGGAGCTGATCGTCTATGTGCCGAATGGGTAATAAAAAATGGTGGTGGCATTTGCACCGTGGATGCTCCTACCCGTTTGATAAATAACTACAATATTCTACCACCGGAACACTACCGGTTCAAAGTGAAAGTGGTTGATGGTTCTGGCGCTTCGCTTATGAAAATTGGTTTGGATCATTTTAAGGGTTGTAATCACATAGATACCGTTATTTTTCACAAATGTAAACACTTGGAATCGGATGGTTTAAGTGGACTGGTACATCTGAAAGATACCCTAAAATCCCTACAGGTATCCGAGTGTGATAACATCAGTGATGATTGTTTTGCCGTTATTGAAGAATTGAAAAATCTACAGGAGTTGCGTATCTTTAATATGCGTTATGTAAAAAATCTGGATGCAATTATCGACAAGCTGAAGAAAACCCTGCCAAAATGTCGCATTGAAACTGCCGAAAAGAATGACGAAAAGTAATCGAAGCAATTTACGTTAATATACATATTAATTTATTGACTTTATTTATTTGCATAGTATTGTTTAAGATTGTGAGAAATGAGAAATAAAAACAAAGACGAACACATACATACATGGTAAGTTTTTTTATTTTAAAATAATTTGGAAACACTAAGGAGATGATGGCAGAAATGTATTACTCATATACATAAATGTTGTGAAATAGCACATCGCACCTGATCATAACTGACGCAACTTGATTTTTTTTTAAATTTTTTGAAGAGAACAGTGTATGATTGTCATATCTTGCCGATGTTAAATTTTGGGATTACATTAAAATATTTATTCTACACATTTCGATTTATAGTATACAAAACAGTAGTATCGTTTTCACTTCGTTGGCTTATGTTGAGTTTGAATATTTTGCTTATTAAAACGATACTACTGTTTTGTTTGGGTTTCCAAAGTCCTTAAATCCTTCTTAAATCTGTTCTGGTATACCAATTTCGTCCTTTTTCTGTGTATAGGAAAAGCTCTTATTTCCCAGAATAGCTATTTATAAAAATATTTTTCTAATGTGCCACTATTCGAAATATTATCTTCACGTTATCAAATTTTTATTTTATTGCAATTATTTATCCCCCCTTGTCGTCCAAAGTAAGCACAGCTCTCAATCCAAAATAAGCAAAAGTGATTAAAAATAAACAAAGCGATTACTTAGCTGGCTTGTAACAGAAGTATTAAGTTTCCAAAAAATTTAGTTGTAACTGGAATCGGAAAGAGTATCTGTGGGTAAACATTTTAATTATTTTTGGGGGAAAAAGAAATCCATTATTTTTATATGAAGTATAGGACTTTATTTAATATGCTTCGGAACGTCCAAATATGCACCGTTTTGTTGTATGATTTGTTGCCATTTTAAAGGTAACATCAACTTCTCTCATAGAAGTCCTGCTCTCTATTTGCAAAAAAAGCTCTAGTATTTGATTTTCACAATCCTCCCTAGATACCAATTTTTTATCATTAAAGAAATTTTGCAATGCAAGAAAAAAATGATAACAACTTGGTGCCAAGTCCGGACTGTATGACGGATGCATTAAAACTTCCCAAACAAGCTCACGAAGTTTCTGGCGAGTCACTGTAGAGTTGTTCTGGTGGAACACATCTCCTGTTGGCCAATTCTGGCCGTCTCTGGTAAATTTCTATCTTCAAACGGTCAAGTTGTCGACAGTAGATATCAGCGTTTGGCCATATGGAAACAACTCAAAATAAAAATTCAAAGATATCTGGCATATGGATCTGATTGTTGGATATGCTGCTAATATAATACTATCAATGATTTTCAATAAAGTATGTATAGAATAAATTTTATATCTTTCTCTTTCACCAAATTTAGTCGATTTTGCAATGTCCAACCGACTCCTGGCTGTTGTGTAATTCACTTTCAAAAATGAAGTCAACCGGTCCAAAACTTCTCATATAAAAAGACAAATCGTAAATAATATTGAAACGAATAGGGTATCAGATTTCGTCCAAAAATTCAATTTTAAATTAAATGCACAGCATGGGTTCCCTTATTTTTTGATACTTCCCCCACAAAACGCTAAACAAAGACAAATCACATCTTTTATAATTATAAAAACGATACTTGTAGCATTGTTTTATTTTAATGGGTAAAAAACCAACATTTTAAGTTATGTTTTTAGTCTATAATATTTCACCCGCAGCCCTGTTATAAACTACGCAATATAACGAAGGTAAAAGTAAATGTGTATATGCGGTCACATGCTGGGATATTGATATTTCCTTTCAACAGTTTGATTCTTTACCAATAATTTTTTATAAACTTACGATTTTCCGCAATAAGTTGATCTTCTGTCCACCTCACGCAGAGCTTGGTTACATTTTTGTTCGACCCTTTACAATAGCCTTTCATTTTTCAGACATGGCTTGGAAACTCAACACACGAACTTCTGGAGCTTCAATGCGTTGAAGTTTATTTCTCTTTATTACCTTGATGAAGACATTCTTTACCTTGTTCAGATTTTTGGCGTGACGAGGTCTCTTTGGTGTAACTCTGTATCTTGACTAGTAAGATTCTCGATCAGAGCCATGGAAATTACCAACCTTTTTGCTATGGAGCATATAAAAATGAGATAATGAAATCGTTTGTTATTTATAAAATATCTGATACTCCTAGTAAAGATCATTTTTTACGGAGTACTCTTCTATAGAAGCATTTTTAAAGCAGATTCCAATTTCATAATATATTCCGAGTTAAAAATAAAAAAAAAATAATTCCAGTTTTATATAGTTTCCTTTATTCCATGTTGTTTATGCCAAATATATTTAATATCGCTTTGCTATTAGATAACGGGAGTTAACATTACATTCTACAATTGATACGTTAAACTTTTTAAAAATTGAGAACAATTATCATTGTGAGTAATAAATTAGAAATACTTAGAAAATACCATTATTTCGAAACAATTTTATCTCCCTTTTGCTTTGTCATACAAATTGCTGCTGATATTAGTTTTACTGTGAATTGTTTATTACTCCTTTAAGCGTATTATAAGAAAATGCATAATTATCGTTTTTTATTTCGTACTTAAACTATGGGACATAATTTCTGTATGTTTGTGTTTTCGATCTTAAGCAGCTGCAGCATCTTTCTTATTACCCTTGCCAGCCTTTTTATTTGTGGCAGCAGCAGCTTCAACATCGATAGGAGCAGGCTTAACAAATGGAATTTCATCCTTGTATTTTTCGGGCATATATTTCTTGAGGGGTTCTGGTACCTTAACACCGGTTTCGGTTTGATGTGTTTCCAAGATGGCACAAATGACACGTGTTGCCGCACACATAGTTGCATTCAACATGTGAACATAATCAACAGCGGCATTCATTTTCTTGGTTTGACCATAACGGACCAACAAACGCCGGGCTTGATAGTCCAAACAATTGGAGCAAGATACCAATTCACGGAAGGCACCACTGCCAGCAAACCATGCTTCCAAATCCAATTTCTTAGCAGCAGCATGATTGAGAGCTCCCGAAACAATGTTTACAATACGATATGGAATGCCCAAAGATTGACAGAACGTTTCAGCATTGCCAATCATTTCATCCATCATTTCCCAGGATTTGTTGTCATGAGGAGATGTCAACACAAATTGTTCTACCTTTTCGAATTGATGGACACGGAAAATACCACGGGTATCACGTCCATGAGAACCGACTTCTTGGCGGAAACATGTCGACAAACCGGCATATTTGATGGGCAATGAAGCTTCTGGCAGCCATTCATCACGGTGATAGGCAGCAATGGGTTGTTCAGAAGTGGCAATCAAGTATTTTTCATCGGTACCGGCTTCATCGGCCTTTTCACTACCCTTACCAACAACCTTGTAAAGTTCCTCATCGAATTGGGATAACTGGGCCACCTCTTGCATAACCTCTTTGCGCATAAAGAATGGGGTATACAAAGGTACATAGTCCTTGGCGTACAATAAATGCAAGGCATGTTGAATTAAGGCCTGTTCCAAAAACACAGCTGGACCAGTTAAGAAATAACCACGTCCTCCCGATACAACAGCACCCTTATCACCATTCATACCGTCAATCATGACAATCAAATCCACATGTGAGTACTTGTTACGTTTTGTGCAATCGCCAAATGTCCTCTCGACTTTGTTCTCCTCTTCATCATTGGATACGGGGACAGATTCGTGCAAGTGATTGCCCACCTCACGCAAAGCTTGGTTACGTTTTTGTTCGGCTTCCTGCAATAGCCTTTCGTTTTCAGCCATGGCTTGATCAATCAATACACGGACTTTCTTGATTTGATTCACCGTCAGCTGTGACAATTTCTCAGCATTCAATTCGGTCAATTCCTGTTGGACCTCAGCGGGAACTTCTTCAGCTTCATCGCCCTGAGGTTCCTTCTTTTTCATTTTCTCACCAATTACCTTGCTGCAGACATTCTTTACTTTGTTCAGATTATCGGCACGATGACGTCTTTGACGCCACTCGGTATCTTGGCTGATGACGGTCTCGACCAGAGCCACGTCTTTGAAACGTTTTTCTTGATTTTTGCGAATGGCATCGGGATTACCACCCTTGTCGCTGCGGAATAGATCCAAATCCAAAACCATTTTTATTTAAGAGAGATGATGAAATCGGCAGTAATTGTCCTTTTTCTTCAATTTGTAAACAGAATGCAATGCCAATCGCTTTGCTTCTTCGTCCGGTGAATCACAACGTGGCTACCCAAATGTTTCGGATTTTTTTTTCAAAAATTTGCGAAACATATGATGCACGGGGTTGCCATAAGTTGTGAATGAAAAGTATAGAGATGCTGTAGACTATGTACATTTTTATTAGTGTGAAAGTGAAGATTCGAAATGACAATAATTTCCTAGTAAAACAGAAAATAATAACTATTTTCAATTTTATTAGTAATCTATTGCATAATTATACAAGGTAGTCAATTTAAATTTATTTCATAAACTAGAATCTAGCCTAAAGAGTATAGAGCGATTCAAAAAACAACAAAATATAGACTACTCGAAAACGTTAAAACTAACAATCAGAGAATGACATCCATTCAACGCAACTAGTAGTACACCGGCTAACGCAATAGAAAAATCATTCATATTCACCAACGCAAATTCTCCTAAGCATAACATAAACACAAAAGTAAGTCAAATACAAATGAATCCCACCGGACTACAATTGTTTCCACAAACAACGCAAATGATCGTTCATAGCAGAGTTTGCACTACCGAGTGTGTGGAGAGCGTAGGTTGAAATAAATCAACCACCAAATGAATAACGTGTTATACGATCAAATGACTTATTGTGTGAAAGAGTAAATACAAAACTGGTGTTGAGAATAACATTGAGAGTAACATTAAGAGTAATTTTCTATACACAGGGGTTGGCTTGCGTTATTTTATTTTTGACTTGCGTTTTGCATAAAATAAAATAACGCAACTACAATTAATGGCAAATTAGAAATTAATATAGCAAAAACGTTTTTAAACAAAAAATTAATTCATTTTTTTATTATAAAAATTCTACATATAAATAAGTCAGTATAGTTATTAGGGGAAATAAAAAATGTATTTAAAAATTAAAAGAATAGTTCGTGTTTTATGAGAAATTTTAAAATATTATGTATAACATAACAGAAATAACAATAAATTAAAAACTGGATTGTCATAGTTCATTCTAAAATTAAGTGATCATAAAAACAAACTTCACTCATAGAGTAGTACTGTTATGATGCGGTGCACCGCATTGATTCGATTGACTTTGTTTCTTTTGCGTTGTTTGCATTGTTTATGTTCTCCCGCACTCACATGCATAAAAACACTCTGAAAGAAGCCGGCGATAGCAGAGAGTGTTTATACGAAGATATGATGTGAATTGAAAACAATCGGTAAAGTGAGAGTCAACAATGGCAGTATTTTCACGAATGACCGAGTGTTGACTGTACTATACCGCATCATTTGTAGTTGCGTTAAGTATTACTATCGCTTTATTTTATGCATAACGCAAGTCAAAAAAAAGCTACCGCATGTCCATCTCTGCTAACAATGTATTAGCTTAATAATATCTTAACGCCTATTCATTTAGAGGGTTTCAGAAACATTGCACCTCAAAAACATTTTTATTATTATAATTAGATTATTTGATTTAGCGACCTGGCACATAGGAACTACCATATTATATTTACTCTCAACCACTAATTTCATTTTACAAGTTTAATTATCTTATCTTATTAGACATCAATATAAAAGATATAATTTATTATTGTTATAATTATTTAAATGTTGAAATCACTTATGAAAAAAACAAACAATTAAACAGAACCTTCTGTAATTATGCCATGGAAATTCATAAGATTTTTTTACACAAATTCTTGTAGAAAATGTTAATAAAAATATTGCCAACAATCACTTCAAAATTCGGAGATTTTCATATATAATTGGGTTTTTTATATTTTTTGACATTTATTTGCACCAACAGCTGGCCCGATGCGGCCAGCTTATTAAATATACCTTGGATATGTGTGTAAATCAGAGCTCCGATTTGCTCGATTTTACTCGCGAGTGAAAAATACTCCCGAGTGGGAGTAAGTAAAGAGTACGAGTTTTTTAGGGAGTATACTCTCCACTCTTTTATTTTGTTTGGGAGTGCTCGCGAGTACTCCTTGATGAAGAAAAAGAGTGTGAGTCAAAATGTTCGAAATAGAGTATGAGTTCACTCTAAGAGTGAAATCGAGTGGACAAATAAATTTGGTTGTTTGGTTATTTGTGTGTGTGTGTAGTAGCAAACATTTTTTGATGTTGATCTTTTGTGTGCTGTGGGGAGATCGATTATTTTGTTTACTGAAAATGTGAAATACAAATAAAAATCTTATACCATATAAGATTTTTATATGTTTTTTATTTCAATTTATAAAATGAATTCAACCGTGTGATTTAATTAATTCAATATTTTTTTAAAAGCATAAACACCTCCAACAAATTTTTAAAATGGTATTCATTAAAAAATGTGGAAAAGTATTCTCCAAAAATATTAAAAGCGCTGGTTTGAAAAAAAAACCCATGAATGCATAAGTGGTTCATTATTTAATTTTAGTATCAAAATATTGTCGAGGGTTTCAATTTGGAGGCTGGTTCGTCTTGCTGTCACTATTTCAGACTTACATAAAGTGAACGCAGAGAACGAGCTTGTTGATGCATGCTTTCCCAGCAGTACAGCAAACCAAACATCACAAAACAAACAAACAATGCACACAAACAACATCATGTAAAACAACGGTATCACAACAAAAAAATAAATAAAAATAAAAGAGTACTCGGCAAGAGTGTAATCTGCTCGATTTCGAGCGTATTTCACTCCCAATCGAAAACGAGCGAAGCACTTGCGCTCTTATTTGAGTGGCAGAGAAAAATAGAGTATACTCTATTTACTTTTTCTACTCGCAAGAGTACTTCCGCTCGAATTCGAGCGAGTTTCACTCTTTACTCGAATTCGAGCGAGCATTTCGGAGCTCTGGTGTAAATACTTTTTAATGCATACACGAACTATGATGTTGCAACACTGCTCAACAGAAACGAAACTTCATATGAACAGTATAGCCATTCGAAATTTTTTTCCGCCGAAAATTTCCCCTAAAAAGTACCCAAAATCAACAATTTATGCCCCATTTCAAAAAATTTGGAGTCCACATACAAATGTCCGTCTGTCTGGATGGCTGTTGCTCACGGTAACTTTTGAAGAGTGTAACGATTTCATCCAAACTTTGCAAATTGTATCGTTTTTCTAAACATAAATAAAATCCAGAAAATCCACTCATTCTCCTCCCCAACAATTTTGGTGAACATAAAACGGCATTTACATTAGAATTTTTTACAGGGTTAACCTACTTTATAAGGATTTATTTGACAAATAGGCAATGGAATTGACAGTGTAAACGTGCTCTTATTTTATCAGCTTTGTAAAACATACTATTTTAAACAAGCTTGCATAAAATTGGAATGTGGTCCACTACGGTCCACACTTCTTTACATACCCATGAAAGGGTAAATATTTTGAAAATTGAACTGAACGGAATATCTTTTTTTACCCAAACTTAGTCCATCGTAATATTTTTAAAGCCTAGATAAAGTCCAACGATGGGATTCAATTCTTCTGGTACATCCTTACAAAGTGTCAACATTTTCAATATTTATAAAGGCAATAGTATGTCTGATTTTCCACAGGCAGATTTTTATTTGGCAAATTTTTGTTTTCTCTTTTGAAATTTTCGCCTGCTTTTCCATTACCAAATTTTTCTTTGCCAAATTTGCGAATCAAAGTACAAAAGAAAGAAAAAAAAACGTCAAAAGTGTTTGCATTTTAAAGATTTTTTTAATATTTTATTTATTTTTTATATATTTTATTGTATAAATTGCAAATATTAAAAATTAAATTTCACTTGCACAAACTAAAACAACAGGTTTGTAAACAAAAGCCGGCTGTGTGTCAGTAAAGCGAATAGGTTCAAAAGGAAATGTCAACAAAATTGTTTTCAACGAACAGAGCAAAGCAGAATTTGCGTGTACGGCAAATTCTGAACAGGCAAATTTTTGTTTTTCTTCCTCGCACCCCTCTCGCCTACAAACTCAGTATTTGCCAAATAAAAATCTGCCTGTGGAAAAGCAGACTATGCGAATGGAATGTCCGATTTGAACAAGGCAAATTTCGGACAATTATCGGCTACCATCATCTGTAGTACCTCCCACACAAACTTAATAAAAAAAAATGATCCGCCTCTATTAAAAAATTATCCACCTCGAGAGGAATTCCGTAGACCTCCGCAATCCATAGGATAAGGGTATATCTCTGTCGGAAACACAAACTGACCCTTCTTTACTGGTTTACCCAAAACTGAACAAGTGAGCGTGTCAGTAAGTAAAACTAGTAAAAGGGAAACATTTCAAAATTGCTCTCAGAGTACAAAATAATTTTAAAAGTTCGGGAACGCAAATCTAGTAAATATGCCAAAATTAGATGACAATACTTCAAAATCAACATAACAGCCAATCAGAAGTAGGCACTCTTGTTTACCATTTTTACTCGACCAAATTTCTCGAGTAAAAAGTTTTCAAAGAGAAAGCCATTTTGTTTTGGGCTCTCTTAAATTTGAGTCAATGTTTTACCAGTTTTGTGGGTTTTCGAGTAAAAAGTTGCAAAACATGTAAAATGAGTAGATTCTTTTAGGTTCTGGAACGGAACTATAGTGTAATGGGGCCATGTGGTTCCCTACACAAATAGCACTGGATTAAAATTTTCAGTGACAATTTATTGGTTGCCCAGATTCACTTCCAGGTTTAATTTCATGGATTTCGTCATAACCGAAAAAATAGCGGTCCCCGGAACTTAAAACATTTTGTAACGTTTATACGATATTTTATTCAATTCCCACATCCAAGTATATACCAGAGATGGACATGCGGTAGCTTTTTTTTGACTTGCGTTATGCATAAAATAAAGCGATAGTAATACTTAACGCAACTACAAATGATGCGGTATAGTACAGTCAACACTCGGTCATTCGTGAAAATACTGCCATTGTTGACTCTCACTTTACCGTTGTTTTCAATTCACATCATATCTTCGTATAAACACTCTCTGCTATCGCCGGCTTCTTTCAGAGTGTTTTTATGCATGTGAGTGCGGGAGAACATAAACAATGCAAACAACGCAAAAGAAACAAAGTCAATAGAATCAATGCGGTGCACCGCATCATAACAGTACTACTCTATGAGTTAAGTTTGTTTTTATGATCACTTAATTTTAGAATGAACTATGACAATCCAGTTTTTAATTTATTGTTATTTCTGTTATGTTATACATAATATTTTAAAATTTCTCATAAAACACGAACTATTCTTTTAATTTTTAAATACATTTTTTATTTCCCCTAATAAGATACTGACTTATTTATATGTAGAATTTTTATAATAAAAAAATGAATTAATTTTTTGTTTAAAACGTTTTTGCTATATTAATTTCTAATTTGCCATTAATTGTAGTTGCGTTATTTTATTTTATGCAAAACGCAAGTCAAAAATAAAATAACGCAAGCCAACCCCTGTGTATAGAAAATTACTCTTAATGTTACTCTCAATGTTATTCTCAACACCAGTTTTGTATTTACTCTTTCACACAATAAGTCATTTGATCGTATAACACGTTATTCATTTGGTGGTTGATTTATTTCAACCTACGCTCTCCACACACTCGGTAGTGCAAACTCTGCTATGAACGATCATTTGCGTTGTTTGTGGAAACAATTGTAGTCCGGTGGGATTCATTTGTATTTGACTTACTTTTGTGTTTATGTTATGCTTAGGAGAATTTGCGTTGGTGAATATGAATGATTTTTCTATTGCGTTAGCCGGTGTACTACTAGTTGCGTTGAATGGATGTCATTCTCTGGTATATACATCATTATTTGTAGTATATATTTAAATGTCAACCACTCCTCTTTGATATAGTTTCACCTCCCAGAGTCTTAGTTTTGGGAAGTATTTTTTTAATTTTTCACACAAAAGTCTTGGACATTTGGCCCGCCAAATATTGACCGATATTCATGAGAACATATATGCTTATTTCCAAAGCAGATTGTGATCTCTAGAGGGACCAGAAAAAAAGTCGAAAATAATTTTAACCGATTGGTGCCGTCTTTGTGCAGAACCTACTTGCAAATGAATGATAAATGATTCATAATAAATTATAATCGGCAGGCGGACAAACATGTCTAGATGGACTCAGTCAGTCAAGATATATCGGTATACTATAACGAGCAATATTACACGTTTTTTTAAATTCTTGGGCCTATAATATACCTCACAACATCGGGTAAACAAATATAAAAAAATATCGATATGATGGAAACATAAAAATGCCCAAAATCCGACCAAGTAATTAATTTTACATTTTTTATTCCCACTCTTTCGGCAACTCTGCATATGATACAAAACGTCACAAATGTGTCATACAAGAGGACGTCGGCAGCGCTGTGCTGTCATTTAGTCTCCATCCCACCTCATTCGTAAATTTTCGGTTATACCACTTTGACTTGTTCTTTATCGGCCATTTTGCCTTCTTCTCTCATTAGCAGGTGGAACGTTTTTCAATTTTTCTTCTTCAGATGGTGAAAAGTCCACGTTTGTTGCACTGATGAGTAAATTGGTGATAAAAATAAAAAAGAAAAATATTTCCGAATAAAATAAGAATTCTGACTTTGGGATATTCAAAACACGTCCTCCATCCACCAGATTATGAGTATTATTGAATTTGAAATTGATGAAGTACGTAAACTCTGTGAAAATGTTGTGCCCAACTCAAAAATAATTGCCAGCACTTCCGTTGCACCTGCACCATTCGTACGTGTTGATATCCACGAGAATCAATATTATCGTCAACTAACAGCGTGCCTACGTTTTCCAATCGACTACCCGAAGGAAGCGATTCTAATCGAACTGAAGAGTAAAACATTGTCGGATAAATTCCTGCAAGGTCTAACAAGTGTTTGTGAGAAGCAACTGAAACAGGAGTGGTTGGGTAAGCCTCAGTGTCTGAATGTGCTCAAGTTCTTGCAACAGTATGTCCAGGATAATCCGTTGTGTGTATGCTTCGATGAGATACAACAGCTGCGTAAAGATTTGGGACCGCAGGCAACTGCGGACCAGTTAAAGTTGAAGCAGAAAACAAGTTCGATTCATTTCACTGTTAAAGGTGGAGATTACTACTACCGTGTAAAGGCTGTGGTGCCAGATGATTATCCACAACATTGTGTGGAATTGCAGCAGCAGGAAACAAATCTTCCGGCAGTTTTGTTGCGCTACTTAAATGGCCAGTCAAAGGAAATTGCCCGTCAGTGTGTGGAACCGCCGTTGCGTATGCCGAAAGGAAAAACTATAGCTGATTTTCAACCGGTACCATCGCTATATAGAGCACTGAAGTTTTGCCTTGAGGCCACCAGAGGATTTCACGCTGAAGAATGTCCTATATGCGGCCAAATGGTGTTGCCACGTAATCCAAACGATTTGGAAAAGGATGACAGCAAGGATACCTATGTGGAGCGTGTATATTGTGGCCATTTGTTTCATCAGGGTTGTTTGAAATTATATTTGTCGGAACCACCATTTCCCAAAGGTGGAAAGTTGTGTCCAGCAAAACGTCGGCATTTACGCTCGGATGCTACTTACTATTTGGGTGGCATGCGAGGCAACAAGATGCCAACAATTTTGCCAGATGAAGGTGGTGCCTGTGGTATACGTTTGGCCCATGACCGTTGGGTGGTTAATGTAAAAGTTGCCGAAAGCCGTTGGGCCCAGAAGCAGGCACGTCAACGTGAATTGGAAGAGGTTGTGGATTTTTTGAAGTGATCGACAAATGGACCATGCAGATTAAAATTGACCAGATTTTGAATGTATATTTTATAAAGGAATAAATTTGATTTATGTAAAAGAGGGAATTTTTGCTTTAATGGGTTACAGGGAATGCCCGATTTCAGCGGTGTTTTGAAAATACGTATAGAATGGATATTCATTTAGCTCGTCTAATAAGGTGTGTTGTTTTTATCTTTTCATTATGCGCCTAAAAGTATGCTAACATTTCATCCTTTTACTATTCAGCTTAATGTAACGATATGGCAACATCAGAGAGTTTACATGCTTTGAGGAGAATAAAATAGCTTCTGTAACAAAAATTTGTGTATTAGGCGCCGAGAACTGGGTAGAACGTGAATTTCGATAGAAACATTAATTAAAATGGAAATAACTCGGCTTGTGATGAAGCTACCGCCATAAAATTGGTATCATTGTTTAGGGAAGATTTTGTAGATTTTATTCATTTCGAAATCTATTTAAATTTATAGCTTTTAATAGGAGATTTTTAGTAATTTTCAAACCTTTTAATATTTCAGTTCCTAATAAGTTTTATTGATTTTTTTTGAAAATAGTTACAACTGTTATGAGCCATGAATGTTTACTATAACAGGTGATGGGCACAATTAGGCTATTTTCGGTCGTAACATTGCATATTGTTGAATGAAATTCGAAAATCAAATCACGGCCAAGTTTTGGTGTTTTAAAGGTTCTAACCGCATATTTTAACTAAATGCGGTATAAAATGGTCCATATATGAAGGTCCCGCCGGACGAAACAATATAAGGGAGCGATATCTAAATCTGAACCTATTTCTACAAAACTTGGCATGCATCAATCTAGACCTAATTCCATACTCTGTGCAAAACTTTGTCTTAATCGGACAAATATTGGGAGTTTGGCTCATCATTTATAAAATCGGAGGAAACTATATATGGAACCTATATCTAAATCTCGCCAGATTTCAACAAAACTTCGCATACATAATTTGGGACCTAATTCAGTACGCTGGGCAAAATTTTGTACCAATCGGCTTAAATGTTACTCTTTGGTGCTACATTTACATAAAATCGAACAAAACTATATATGGGAGCTATATCTAAATCTGAACTGATTCCAACAAAACTTCGCATACATCAATCTGGGCCTAATTCAATACTCTATACAAAATGTTGTCTCAATTGGACAAATATTGGCAGTAATTTTATTTACATAAAATCGGACGAAACTATATATGTGAGCTGTATCTAAATCTGAACCGATTTTCTCCAATTTCAATAGGGTTCGTCCTTGGGCCAAATAAGTGACATGTGCCAAATTTCATCCAAATCGGGTCATATGTTCGTAACAGGCAAAAGGAATCGAGATAGATCCATGGTTCCTTTTGAGAATTTGCATAGAATCACTTTCTGAGTCGATTTACGCATGTCCGTTAGTCCATGTATTTTTGTGAACAAAGTACAGGTACTCTGAACCACATATAAATTTAAATATTCTGCCTTTATATAGCATATTTTTAAAACTAATTAAAAAACATTATTGAAGTTTTTTGTTGCGATAATGAACCGATCAGAAATGCATAATGGATCTAATCATCATGAGATTTTTTATTTTCTGTTGTATTTTTTTCTGTTTGGAAACCACTTTTTGCTGCAGTTTACAAAAAATTAATTTCTTTAAGAAAATAAAAAAATCGTTTATTTTTATAGACATATTAATTTATTTATTTCTCTTATAAAATGTGTGTTTGTGTCCATTATATCATCTTTTGTTTGTTTATAATACTAGGTATCGAGATATTTATATATAATTACTTTTGATTTATTTTCTTTAAATGGTTTCAAATAGTTAAAATATAAACTATTATTGGAAAAAATTTATTCAAAACTATTACAAAAATAATTAATTGATGTATAAATTGTAAATGATAATACTTACAAGAATTAAATTGTATATATTTTATTTTAAAATAAATGAAATGATTTTAGTTTATATAATAATAGTGTAATAAAGAATGCCCGCTTTTGAATAAATATCAGTTTAATTCGTTTACAATTTTATTTTCGTTCTTTCAATTTTTTTATTGTTTTGATATATTAGAAATGATTTAAACATACATACATTTATTTATTATGTTGTTTTTCACATTAATTTGTTTGCGTGTATGTGGAAGGATTATGTATTTCGGTTTGGGGTGTCTACACTAAATATACTATCTACGATTTTTATATATATATAAGGGGAGTTCTTTTGTTGTTGTTGTTGTTTTTATACTGTGTAAAAATATGTAATGGTTTTGATTGATTTATTTTTGCCATTGGGATTTTTATTTAATATTTACGTTATTATGCAATTTGTTTCTGTTTTTTTTCTAATAATCAATTTAGATTTCCTGTTATATTTGCAAATAGTTTTTATTTAATTTTTGTTTTATTATTTTATAATTTTAAATTATAAATTTGAAATATGTTTGTGTCTTAATTTTTTTTGTTTGTTTTCATTATACACTAAAAATAATAATTTTAAATATATATTTGTTTTTAATTAAATTTATTTAGCACCTAAATTTTTATATGGTTTGCCACCATGTTTTTCCCATTCACGATTAAATTCATGTTCCAGAATTTCCGCACCACGTTTGCGGGTTAGGCCGGTCTCTTCTAAACTAAGTTCACACATTTGCATGTCATCAATACCTAAAAGGGTTTAAAATAAAAAGATATATTTTTTTTAATTTAATTTAATTTTAAAACTTAAAAATTTTTTAATAAATAAATACATTTTCAAATAAAATAAAGTTTTAGCATGGAGCTAGGAGTGTATATAACGTGATACAAAAATAAAAAAGAAATATAGAAATTCATCGATTTTCATTTCATTTTTAATGTTCTTTTAAAAGGACGGTGGCGCCAAGCGAGTTAATAAAAAATAAATAAATAAATAAATAAATAAACGAAATATTTTAATGAACATACGACCAATGTATGTACTTGAATTTAAAAATATCTGCTTTATTTCTATTGATAATGCAGAAGCATCAAATATGTTTGCTTCGAATTTCACTAAACTAGTATTTTAAAATTAAATAATGCAATTCTCCACAAACCTGCTGTCAATAGTATGGGTGGTTTATCTGCATGTAATTCCATTTGTCTGGCAATCCATTGTCCATCAAAGTGAGCATACCATAGACCACGTTTTGCTATAAAATGATAAATAAAATTAAATATATCATTTGAAAATTAATTTAAATCATAGGCATATTCTTACTATTTTCCGGAGCATTGGCCCTCATAAACGGTATACGGAAATAACGATGCTGGGCAGTTGTAATTTCTTGTTTAGGCTGTACCAATGGCGGGGCCTTAGAAGCTATTATATTATAGAGAGAGGAAAAAAAAAGAATTGAATTGATTTCCATAGAACATTATAAATAAGATTCGATTATATACCTGCTTCCATAACACTCTTTGGTGCTCGTTCGTTTTCATCCATGGTTGTACGTTTACGATTCTTTGCCTTCCATGCATGGTAGACCTTCAAGCGACGATGGAATTCTTGACGGCAAGCCTATAAATATTAGAAATATTTTAATATCTAATGTCAACAGCAGTTTAGCAATTTTAGTACGACTGGGTTTTTAAAAAATATTTGTTTCAGACAATAATGTGTCGATTTAGAAGGAATTTATCCAAACATTGCACATCGAATGATTTCGTTCATATTTAAGCTAAGTTTGAAGTTGGAATTATAGCTATCGACTAATTGAAATTATAGCTGCCATGAAACGAGACATGAATTTAGCTGCGGATTTTTGGTTAATATAAGAGTAAAAAACCTCGTCTCCAGATTCCCTGGTGCCAACTATAGAGGAATAAGTCTTCTTTCCATCGACAGCCCTATCCGTTCAGAGGTGTTTAGAGTCATGTCTGCGTTCGACATTCCTGCAGAATTAATAGGTCTATATAGCATAACTTTAACTGGCACAAGGTCAGCAGTTCAAGTCGGAAAGGACCTCTCGGAGTGTGACCTGTTTAACATCCTGCTGGAAAAGGTCATACGAGGGGCAAATGTGAACAGAAATGGCACTCTGTACACCAAACAACATGTTACTCGCCTATGCCGATGACATCGATATAAGTCGAGCATAGAGAGCGGTAACAGCCACCTTTGAACAAATTGAGAAGGGGTCTGCCAAAGATGGTTTGGCAGAAAATGGCGAGAAGAGCAAGCTGAAGGTATCAACGCGCAAGACGTCCAGTAGACACGGACCAACTATGGATCTTGAAAACAGATGCTACTATGGTCTGATTAAGTAATTCAAGAACAAGGCCTCGACTCGCCAGACCAAATTCACACTCTACAAGACGCTGATACTACCGTGGATCTGAAGCATGGATACTTGTGCAAGCAGATAAGGAAGCTCTTGGGTTTTTTTAGAGAAAAATTCTCCGAAAGATCTATGGGGCACAGGATCGACGCACCTGCAAATCTTTTTTAAGCTCGGCTTATGGAATAAACGTTCTGTCGCAAGCCAGCTAAGTAAGTAACATCTGTCCAATATGTATCTGCCCAGAATACAATACCTACTCTTACATTAGACCAGAAGATCTGTTGTAGCAGCCAATGGAAATAGACAATATTATAATCTTCACAATATAGCTAGAAGAGAGCCTAATATATGATAAGCCTTCATAACTACCACTGGCCTTTAACTTTGTGAGGAGCTATATTCCGATATTGAATAAAACGTTATGATAATTGATCCATATTACGATGATATCATAAGCAGCACTAGAATATGTAGACCCTGTACATATTTCAGTATATTTTCTATATCTAGCAACTCGTGTATACACTAGAAACTAATTCGGGCAATGTCTTCTCGGAGTAAACATTGTGTGACCAATCGAACAACCAATGGGTCCCATCAAAGTTTGGTTCCAATCGAACATTCCATTCGACTGTTATTGGATTTATACATTTTGCACATTTTGACCATTCGTGGGGGAGGTACAGAAGGAGTGCACCAATAGGTCCCATCTTAGAGTTTGATTTAGGCTTGGTAAACATAATAGATTGTGCAAAGTTTGGTTCAAATCCGACATTCTATTCGCCTGATATTGCATTTGTAAATATTGAAAATGTTGATCCTTTGTGGGGGAGGTACCAGAAGAAGTGGACTAATGGGCCCCATCTTTCTACTTGATCTAGGCTTGGTATAGATAATATAAAAGTGTATATACCCTCATTAGGCATTAAGCTGGAGCTATACAAATTTTATTTGGTTTCGAGTTACTGAAAAACTCTATATTGTGACGCAAGCATTTTGCGAAAAAAATTTTTTTCTTCTTGGATTTTACTAAATATTTTCAATTTTAGTGGTTAATTTCAAAATAAATTAAACTTGACTTACCTCAAGCAATTCAATATCACAGGACGTGTTAATTGCATCACGCAGTTCCGAATATTTCCACTTGGATAGATCGTATTTTTGTTTTCCCAAAGCTTGTTGTTGAGCGCGAACGTTTTCAGATCTTTGATGGTCAAAAATAAATATTATACAAAATAAATTAATTAATATATGTAATGAATATAAAAAATATTGAAATTAAATGAAACCAAAAAATGAAAATGCATTAATATGTTATCAGCGAGTTCAAATGAAAAATAAAAATCCTCTACCTTGTTTATAAATTTACAAATTCATTGACAGAAATTAAAATTTCATTAAAAACAAATATTTTTTATGTACAAAGTATAATGAAAAGTAAAATTTTTACAAAATTTTATGTTAGTTATGCTACTATGACTACTAAAATTGCTGAAATTGAAAACAAATACTATTTTAAACAAAAAATTCATATGTAATGATTTTAATAAAAATCTATGAAAAATTCTACCAAAAATCTAAATGATTTAGTAGTCAAATAAATATATATAGGAACCTGAACTCACTTCTGTCTTAAATAGCGAGATGCCAATTCTGAAACATCTCTTGTAAAACTTTTATTTGTTTTAGTAGAAATATTATTTTTGTTTTTAATTTATTATTTGTTTTGGTGTTGTTGGTGATGGCAAAATTGTGGAGAAGAAATTAGTAAAAAGTAATAATAAAATTAATTAGATTTTGTTTTTTTTTTAATTTGTAGCTCATAACCGATTTGTTAATATTGCTTAGATTAAATTTAAAGAGGAGGAGCAGTAGTTAGCACACAATAAAGGGGCAAAAGAAAAGTTGGTGTTTTTGTTGTTTTACTTATTTGTGGTATATACCTGATCAGTTTATTTGGACCCACTGGCGACATATCCGTTTGACCACTGTTGCAAAAAGAGAAACCAAAATAGTACATAATGTGGAATTTTGTTTGTTTTTGTTTGATTTGGAATTTTGTTGGTGTGTAAAATAGGGTGAATTCAGCCGTAGGAAGAAAACAATGTAAATAAAAATATACAAAATAACATATTTAAAAAAAATAATAACTGGACAAATTACAAAATTTTGTGTGTGTTTAATAAAAGTAAAAAAAAAAATATTTTAAATAATAATAATTCCTCCAATACAAAAATTTTGTACAAAAGGACAAGAACACAGGTGCATTTTGTTTTTGCATATAATTATTTTGCTTCAATTAAAGCTATTTACATTAAAAATTTTAGAATTGCAAATCTTGTACTTACTTTCTTATCATTGGCGGACTATCTTCAACTTGCCCGTTGGATTCGGTGGCCAAACGTAATGCCAATTCATGATCACGTCGTTCCTGTTCCAATTGTTGACGATATTTAGCATCGTCAATTGCTTCCTTTTCTAATTGTGCCTGCAGTGCCAAGGCTGCCCTGCGATCCTCTTCTTCTTGCTTGACACGTTGCACTTCTTCAGCCTTGCGACGAGACTCCATTTCAGCTTTACTGTAATAGGTAATTGAATTTTTTAATAATTTTTTTATTAAAGATTGTTGGATTTTTAATATTAAACTTACAGCCGTTTATTTTCTTCTTCCTCGCGTAAACGTCGTTCTTCCTCCTCCTTGGCACGACGTTCAGCCTCCAAAGCTTCCTGTATTTTACGCAAACGTTCCTGCTCTTCGGCCTGTTGTTGTTCCTATGGAAAACAAAAGGTTTAGTTTTTTTAATAGTAGATATGCGAAGGCTAAATAATAAATTATTTTTATTATATTACACAGTTTCTGTGGAGGAACAACATATTTTTGAACAGTTTTTCATGGGTCTACCTCAAAATACAAGTCATGGAATGTTTATATAATGTGGGAATAAGTCAAGCAATGCTAATTTGCCAATAATCCGTTGGCTGGTTGATTCCAGGAAAGTGGATTTTGCGAAGACAATTTGACTCTGGACAAATGCAACAAATTTTATGTGTTTCTCATACCATAAGAATCTACCAAGGCATAGGCTCCATATAAAAGTCCCGATTGATTATAAATGCCCTTCTCATGGTGGAGGCACACAAAGTTCTGCTGGTAGAACTTAATGACGTTTTTGCTGAACAAACACACACACTTAACCTCACGACTGAACTGCTTTTCAACTTGTCACGTGAGTTGTAGTTTTCAATTTGTATGAAATACATACAATTGGCAGGAACAAATTAAATAAAGTCCTGATTGTTTTAATAACTGTTTTTAATTGCAATATTTTTTCTTCAAACAAAAATTTAAATATTTCAAAAAACTACGTTTTATTAAATTGGTTTTATTTTGTCTGTTTAGACCAAAATTCGCAATGACAAAAATCTAATCTATGCGATAGGTACGTTTGATAATCCAATAATTTGTAAATGTTGTTCGATAAAGCTTAAAAGCTTTGCAGGTTCTTGGTAGGTAAAATATCTTATTAGAAAAAAATTATATATAGATCCAGGTTTTGACATAGCCCGCATATGTAAAAATTACTTTCAAATGATCACTGCCCATACAAGGCAAAATTCAAATAACAAAAATTAATTCAGCTGAGCACGGCTAGGGCTCGAACTTCGGAGCAACACAAATATTACCAGACCACTTAACTTCCAAAAACGGTAGCGCAAAAACATGTGTATACCATGGAAGCAATTGTTGGTGTGTGGATTAATTATCCATCGCTACAACAAAAATCTGCTTTGAAAAGGACTGTTCCTAGAATGAAGACAAATGTCGAACTTTGACAAATTGGAATTTAATTCGCATATGCAAGTTTCGCATCAGGGCGGAGTAAATACAAGTTATCAGCATACGACCTTTGTAAAGCCTCATAGCCCAATATGACTGATGAGCCGCTTCATCAACGGCGAAACGTGTCGCATAATGGTGTGTATGTAGGTTCTTCTCCTGGCTTTCCTTTTCATTGCAAAACATATATCATTAACTCGACTCAAAAGACTATAAATAATCACTTATACATAATATTTGATATTTTGGGTTCTTGCAAAAAAGGTTCAATACAGTGCCCGTCCATTTTAGATATTTTGGCATTCCAGATTCTTAGTGAGTACAAATCGATATACCAAGAAAAATGGCTATTTTGATTTTTATTAGGTATTTCCATGGTCCAAAGTGATTCTATTTTTCCATTTCGAGTTCTTAATGGGTGAAAATTTTCATAAAAAACTCTTCAAAAATTAATTGTTATGACATAGTCCCCATAATAAGAAATCACCTCATTTAAGGGTTTTAATAGTTCAAGCCTCAAAACATTTCTTCCAGAAGATAAAATACTATATGGTGGAAGATTAAAATAGGTAATTTTTTTAACATTGTTCATATTCCCAAATTTCATACATTCCAAATTTAAGGGTTCCAGCTCTATTGGTTCACATAATACAAAATTTTATAAAATTTAATACCCATAAGTACAAATTTCCAAAACTACATCCATACCCCAATCCTACACTCCAATAGTAATTATGATTACTGAATTCCATTTCAGAATTCCAGCTATATCGGAATTCTCCAAAATGTAATATATTAGGTTGGGGAAAAAGAAATCCATTATTTGCATATAAGAACTATAGGACTGTATTTAACATTAACTGTAGATGTGTGTGTCTCTTGTTTGCCAAATCTGGCCTTTTCTGGTCAATTGCTATCTTGAAACGGTCCAGTTGTTGACAGTAAAGATCAGAATTTAGCGTTTGGCCATTTGGAATCAACTCATAATAAATAACCCGCTTTCAGTCCCACCAAATGCATAGCATTCCTGGCCGTTAGTCCTGGTTTGGCCACCGTTTGAGGTGCTTCACTGCTCTTTGACCACGATCGTTTTCGCACAGGGTTATCGTATGTGATCCATATTTCATCTTCAGTCACCATCAGTTTAAGAAAAGGGTCTATCTCATTCCGTTTGGCTTCGCAAATGGAAATTCGATCCATCATATTTTTCTCTGATAATTGGTGTGGCACCTAAACATCGAGCTACTTATTGTTTTGTGTAAATGGTTTAAAACAGTTTTATGGTCGATTTTTAGCTCCTGGGCGATGTTACGACTGCTAACATGCCGGTCAACTTCGATCATTTCTTCTCCGATTTTATCGACATTTTCGACGACCGGCCTAATAGATTTCTTTTTCTCCAACCTAACCCCTAGAATTCTGTGTCCCGTGCACAAGAAAAGGAGACAAGACGATATGTGCCAACAATAAAGGAATATAAAGTTGGCACCACTGATGCCATCAGTTTTGAAATTCGAAGGAGAATAATGTTGGCCAACAGATGCTACTATGGTCTAAGTAAGCAATACAATATTGCCGAACATGGTCAATCAAATTGGAAGAATTGCGCAAAAGACCGACGCGCCTGGAAATCTTGTTTATGCTAAGTAAGCAAGTAATACAATACATACCTTCAGTTTAGTATTCAAATCCACCGTAATCTTATTCATATTAGCCATGATATTTGTGTACATGCTATCAATTTCACGAGGTGTAATTTTCTCGTTCACCTAAAAAACAAATATATAAACCAATTATATTTCTTTATATTAAAAATTAATTTCATATATCCCACACATACCTTAATCTTGCGTATACTTTCATCAATCTGTCGTTCAATTTCAGCAACTTCATTTAGAATAACTTCACGGCCATTTTTCAGACCGCCAGCAATTTCAATTGTCTTTTCGGCATTCGTACGTATTTTATTGATTTTAGAAATACCCTGGAAACGGGGACGATGATGTTTGCGGGCCAAGAAACCACGTACCGTGCTTTGGATGACCAAAACACATTTGTTGCGGTACTTAATACGATTGCGTACTGTATAACAAAAGAAATAAAATAATATTATTTTATTTTATTTTTCTTTTTCCACATTTACTTACACTTAATTACACACACTGCACCCAGTGTAGATTTTACCCACCGCGAGCGTATTAACCATTTCTTAACTTTGGCAACAATTGCCAAAAGATTTTCCGGATCTGATTTCATAATACGATCAAATTCTACAAATTTACCAGGCCGGAAGAATACCTTGGTTATACCGAATTTAAAATCTTTTGAACTTAAATTCAGCGATTGCAACATAGCCTCACAGAAGGTACGTGGTGGCAGTTTAGCTAATTCTGGTGGCAAGAATGATTTATACATATTATAGAGATCGGAGAAGGGTACACGTGAGGGATAACCATGTTCCATCAATTCCAATACGGATATGGTACCGGAACATTTTAGTTGTGCCAAGGCTAAGCCGCCTTCAAATTCACGATCAATCATTTTGCTGTTGGGTTTGATACAACGTATGAAATTGGTACCCTATAAAAATACAGGAATATTTATAACCCTTTGGAATATATTTTTTATTTAAAAGTACTTACATTCTTTTCCAGTTTCTCCATCAGTTCAGCCAATTGTGTCTTAAACTTTGAGCCGACTGAAATGAAATTCAGTTTGCCGCGAACAGATGTTGTTCCCGTGGAAAACAATGATTTCAATAGAGGATTTTCACATTCCTGCACTAGACCCTCCAGTGATGCATGCAGAGCATCATTATTTTTTTCAATAAATTGTTCCGTGTTATAACACACAGCTCCGGCGAAATGTCGCACCAAGAAACCTTCCTCATCGCGTAAAGTGCGATGAGCCTTAAGCCTCGATGAACGTGGCAGACCTAAACGGAAATGATTTGACCATGCCTTGTGTACTTCGGTGGTAAAATGTACTGCTGCAGGTTTTGGCAGTTTACTTTCCTCATCCAGTAAAGTGAAGATACCATTTGATTTATTTTCAATAAGATCTATAATATCTTGATTATCGGTAAATGTAATTTCAGGAACATTAAGACCTTCACGTTTATACAATTCTTGTTCATTTTTCAAAATATTATCGTTGAAGAACTTTTGCAGCTTTTCATTACAGTAATTAATGCAAAACTGTTCGAAGGAGTTAACAGTGAAATATTCAAAACCGGCAATATCCAAAACACCGATATAGAAATTGGACGCCTGGAATGGTATGCTTTGATTGATCAAAGCCACAATGCGATCGAATAGGCGGCTGTAAATGGCCTTGGCTAGGGCATCACGGGCATTTGAGGCTTCATAGATTTTTAGGGGGACCCTGGCAAAATAAAAAAATAACATTAATTTCAAAATATATAATACAACTTATTAACCTGAACTTACATAATTACTGTTCCCTTGAAACCGCCACCTTTACTTTGCATAACACGTGAAACCAATGCCTGCCTCAATTCATCGGGATCGACACCCAAAAGGCGACATGTTGTAGTCAGAGATTTTTCTGACGATTGTGAAACCTGACAACCACCTCGTACATCATCGGGTATCTCTTCAAATGAGATATTGCCCAAATGCAATACAGCTGCAACCAACGAATAAATCTCCAATTTTTGTACTTCACTCAAACCAAGACGCCCTAGTGCTTTATCCAAATTTTGAAAATGATTATAATCATCAATAATGGGATCCTTCAGAGGTCCATTTTTGAGATGTGAAGCTGATTTTTGTGTTGAAGGTATTAGCTGCTCGGTCTTGCCATTGGCAAAATACTGTGTGCAGCCGGAGAGGTACTGAAATATATAAAAATAGAAGAGCAAATTAAAAAATAATAAATAAAGAATATATAAAACAGAGAGGTTTTATTAATCAATTGGAAGCACAAATTCAGAATTAAATAATTTATAGGACTATCGAAGGCGAATGGAGGTTTCTAAATAAATATTGTTAAGGACTGAATCAATAAGAGTGTATTTAAAAAAAAAAAAAAAAAAAATAAAAATAAATAATAATAATTACAGAGCTATAAGGGCGGATTTTTAAAGAAGAAGGAATATCAGGGCTATAAGCGTGGATTTTAAATGAATATTTTTTTACGGACTATCTGGGCTATAAGAGCGGATTTTTAAAGAATAAATTTTTAAAGACTATCTGGGCTATAAGCGTGGATTTTTAAAGAATAATTTTTCAAGAACTATCTGGCTATAAGCGTGGATTTTTAAAGAACTTTCATGGCTATAAACGTGGATTTTTAAAGAATAATTTTTCAAGCACTGTCATGGCTATAAACGTGGATTTTTAAGGAATAATTTTTCAAGGACTTAATGGGCTATAAGCGTTGATTTTTAAATAATAACTTTTAAAGGACTGACAAAGCAATAACGTCGATTATTAAAGAATAATTTTTCAAGGTATATCCGGGCTATACGCGTGGATTTTTAAACAATACATGTTCAAGGACTATCTGGTCTATAAGCGTGGATTTTTAAAGAATATTTTTTTAAGGAATATCAAGGCTATAAGCGTGGATTTTTAAAGAATATTTTTTGAAGGAATATCAGGGCTATAAGCGTGGATTTTTAAAGAATATTTTTTGAAGGAATATCAGGGCTATAAGCGTGGAATTTTAAAGAATATTTTTTGAAGGCATATCAGGGCTATAAGCGTGGAATTTTAAAGAATAATTTTTCAAAGAATTTTAGATCTACAAGCGAGGATATTTAATGAATATTTTTTCAAGGACTTTCAGATCTACAAGCGAGGATATTTAATGAATATTTTTTCAAGGACTTTCAGATCTACAAGCGAGGATATTTAATGAATATTTTTTCAAGGACTTTAAGATCTGTAAGTGCCGATTTTTAAAGAAAAAATTTTTGAAGGAATACCAGGGCTATAAGAGTGGTTTTGGAAAAAGTATCAGGGCTATTAGAGTCGATTTTTCCACGGAGTATGAAAGCTTAAAAAGTGGATTTTTAAAGTGTCATTTTGTAGGACTATCGGAGCAATAAGTAAGGATTTTTAAATAAAAACATTTCAGGAATTTTTTAAAAATTATTTTTCAATGACTATCTGAGCTATAGGAGTGGATTTCAAAATAATATTTTTTCAAGGACTATCGAGCGATAGAAGTGAATTTTTAAAAAGTCATTTCTGGAGGACTATCGCAGCTATAAGCGTGGATTTTTAAGAATATTTTCGTGAACTATTACATCAATAATCGTAGATTTATTTAAGCATATTTTTCAAAGACTATAAGAGATTCTATAAGAGCTAGAATAATAAGCCTATTTTTTTAAAGAATTATATTTAAGGAGCATCAGAGCTGGAAGCATGGCTTTCTCACGAATAATTTTCAAAACCGGTCTGAGCCACAATTGTGGATTTTTTAAAGAATATTTTTGCAAGGACTATGAGAGCTACAATGTTGAATTTTTTAATGAATATTTTTGCAAGGACTATCAAAGAACAATGGTGAATTTTTTAAAGCATATATATTTTAAGAACTATCAGCGTTTTAATTGAGGATTCTTAAAGAAAAAAATTCCTAAAGTTTTAGAGGTACAATCGAAGAACCATAATCGTTGAATTATCTTAGTAACAAATGGTGGGTTTTTAAAGGATATTTTTCAAGTGTTGCCAGAGGTACACTTTTGGATTTCACTTCAAATAATTGCAGGAAGTGAATGGGAAATAGATCACCTAGAATATTTCAACCTAGATGTTAAGTTGTCTTTAACATTTATTTTCCTCATATATTAGATTTACTATCATTTAAGGTCACTTATATCTTATTTGACATTAAAAGTCACATTCATCTATTTGATAAAATTATCGTGCTCCAATTTTCTTACAGCCTGACAGGTGTTAATTACACAAAGTCAACAATGGGCCAAGAAACATATTTAAAAAAATGAATTCAGACTCTAATCTATTTTCTTGAAAATAAATAATTATCTAATAAGAAGAAAATATCATTCCGTCTTATCTTAAATTCTCAATCTCCTTTTTTGTGATAATCAAACAATTTGTAAATTCTACCTCCCATACCAACACCCGAAACAACTGACTAATGACGTAAAAAATGCAAACATATAATCACGGGAGAAGATATTGAAAGAACGAACAAAACAACAACAACTGAGATAACATATTAAATAATTATTTAGAGGAAAGACCAACAGACGACATAAGCAGATAAATATGGTTGAGGTGGTTCCGACAACTTCACCTAACTCACATTGCTTTCGACTACTCTACAACTACTTACCCGATAATCATCTGGTTTGCCTAAGTTTAATTTATCACGCAATTGTTGCGGCGCTCCAGCCAATAGCATATAGAAAACATGATAGTTACGTTCTTCGGCACTTTGCGAACAAATGCGACTTTTCTCCAACAGATAATGGGAAATATAACCGCCGACCACTTGACATTTAGCATCGTAGTGAACTTCAATGAATTTACCAAAACGTGATGAATTGTTGTTGCGTGTTGTTTTGGCATTACCGAAGGCTTCCAGGACGGGATTAGCTAAAAACAATTAGAAGAAAAGGAAGGAAGGAAAGGATTGTTAAAATTTCTTAAATAAATACAATTTGTTCACACATACCATCCAGGATTTTTTGCTCTATGGGCCCGGCACTGTCATGCGAGTGACACAAATATTTCAATAAATATTTTGTTGATTCTGTTTTACCAGCTCCCGATTCACCAGATACAATTATCGATTGGGATTCTTTGTATACGCGCATATCGCGTATAGCTTTATCGGCTAAAAAATAAGAAGAAAAATGAATTAATATCGAAATAAAAATTTCGATTTCTTTCCCTCTACCTATGGCAAAAACATGAGGTGGCAATTCACCCAAGGAACGTCCATTATATTTTTTAATTGTTGCAGGTGCATAGAGATCTGTAATTTCACGATAGGGATTTATGGCTATTAAAATATTGGCCACATATGTCTGCAAATAGTAGAAAAAATGTATTTAGTTAACAAATATATTTTGTATTCAAATTCTGGGTACTTACATAGATTTTGTCCTTGTAATATCTTGTCTTTAAATTATCCAAAAATGTGGCTTCGTTTAGCAGCATCAATTCACCTGAAATAAAGAAAATAAAAAAGTATTGAAAATTAATAACATAATTATTTTAAATATAATTTTTATAACGGATTGAAAATATAAGCATTTTTTTAATGTTTTAATAAATTCTATGGACTACCAATACTGTCATTTTAAGAATTATTTGAGGTAAGGCGTGGATTTTAAAAATAATATTTTTTAAGACTATACGAGGTATAAGCCTGGATTTTATAAATAATATTGTTTGAGGACTATTCAAGTCCTGAAGTGGGGATTTAATAAATACTATTTTCTGAGGACTATTCGAGGTAGAGGCGTGGATTTTTTAAATAATATTTTTTAATGACAATAAGCGTGGAGTTTTTGATGAACCTTTTCCCAGGACTAGCAGGGCTATAAACGTGGATTTTTAAAGAACAATTTTATAGGACTATCAGTGCCATAAGCGTGGATTTTTTAAAGAACAATTTTATAGGACTATCAGTGCCATAAGCGTGGACAGTCAGAGCTATAAGCTTAGATTTTTTAAGAATATTTTTCCAGGACTATCAGAATTTGTTTTCAAGGACCATCCAAATAAAATAAAAAATATTTTTTTTTTAAATCTCACTCTTTAAAAAAAATATTACCATTTTAAAATATATTCCACATGCATTAAAAAAAAAAAAAAAAAAAAACAAGAGACCATAACCGATCATAATCTGCTGATTATGCATAAGCAGCAATTCATTTTGGCATTTCATTTCGGCCTTTCTTTATTTATCAATTTCATTCAATTTCTATTTGTTAACCATAATAGTAAAAGTGGAGTAGTCGTATTTTTTGTTTTAAAAAATCTGTAAGAAAACAATGATATTTCTATGTTTGTACATTTATGTGTCACTTCTACATGGCTTGCCTGGAGTATAATAACCACACCGAAAACCTTAACAATGAATATCTCCACTCCACTCTACGACAACTCCACTCAAGACGACAACTACGATGATGTCGTCTTCATTGACAATGCAAATGCATGCTGTTTCTAGAAGAGAGGAGTGAACAAAAAAAAAAAAAACGTGACATTTCTATAGTGAAGTCAACAAGAAGAGGAAGGAAGAACCAAATCGAGCTGAATGACGATGAAGAAATCCAACAAATACAACAAATTGTTCATTAAGAATTCATTGACTTTGTTTTCTAGCTTTGCCCTAAAAATCACCGCATTTGCCGCATTTAAGGCAGTTAGTCACTTAGTCCGTCAGTCAGTTACCATTGCTACTGGCTGGGCTGAAGTCAACAAACGAAATGAAAATAGAAAATAATAAAAAAATGAAACCAAATGACTGGGAAGAAATCGTCAAAAATGGATATAAACCAAAACGTGATCTACATAACATTATTTTTATTTATTTACATTTTGTTTTTATTGTAAGAAAATAATTTGACTACGTCTACTACCATCAGAATGCCAGTCAGCAACAGACGACAACCCGCCACACAAATATAGTCACATCGTTTAGATATTTAACCCAATTTATTTTTATAACAAATTTGCCTTAAATTTGTTTCGTTATTTTTATTATTATAGAAATGTGAGTATGTCGTTACGACCCCATATAAATGAAATATGTGTATGGTTGTAGTCTGACGGGTAAAATGCACATCGTTATTATTTGACATTTTCATAAATTGCAAGAACGATTTCAAAAAAAATTGTTTATCAGTATTTGCATAAATTATAATTTAAGTCTTGAGAGCGGGTTCGGCAGGGGGTTTTAATGGATAATTGAAGACAAAGCGAGAAAGTGAACGAACAGAATGTCGCTAAGGCAAATCGAAAAAATTTTCTATAGACAGAAAACTTTCTGATTTCTTTAAAGCTTGGATTATTTAAAGAGTATTTTTTGAAGACAATCATACCCATAAACGTTTTTAGGGATTATCAGATCCATAAGCGGGGATTTTTTAAATAATGTTTTTGAAGACTATCAGAACCCTAAGCGTGGATTTTTAAAAGAATAATTTTAAAAGACTATCGAAGTCTTAAATGTGATTTTTTTAAAAAAATAATTTTCAAAAATTATCACTCCCATAAGCGTGGATTTTTTAAAGAACATTTTTCAAGGACTATGCAAGGCGCGGATTTTTTTGCAGAATATTTTTTCAGAGACTACCCCAAGGCGTGGATTTTCTGAACAATATTTTTTCGAAGGCTACACCAAGAAGTGGATGTTTTAAACAATATTTATTCAAAGACTACACCAAGACATGGATTTTTTAAGCGTGGAGTGTGAATTTTAAAAATATATATTTTTCAAGGACTATCGGGCCCATAAGCGTGCATTTTTTAAACAATATTTTTCAAGGACTATTATTAGACCCATAAACGTGGATATTTGGAAGACTATTTTTCAAGGTATATAAGACCTATAAGCGTAATTTTTTTAAGAATACTTTTTTAAGTCTATCGGACCTATAAGCGTGGACTTTTAAAGGATATTTTTTAAGGACTATTAGACCTGTAACCGTGAATTTTTTGAAGAATAATTTTCAAGGCTATTGACAGATTTTTATGGCCATTAAAAAAAAGTTGTAAGGCTATTAAAAGATTTTTAGAGCCATTAGCACGAATTAAAAAATATGTTTTACGGCTATTAAAGGATTGCTAGAACCATTAGCATGAATTAAAAAATAGTTAAAGACTATTAACGGATTTTTAGAAACATAAGCGTGGATTAAAAAAATGAATACCCTAAAAGGATTTTTAGAACCATAAACGTTAATTTTTTTAAAGAATATTTTAGGGTGTTTTTAATATGAGCTATCAGAGCTTTAAACGTGGACTGCTATCAGAGCCTTTTTATAAGGAATATCAGATCATCATATGTGTATTTTTTAATAATATTTTAATGCCTATCAGAGCAAGGGATGTTCACAGAGGGTGGTGGTATCCCAGGGGGTCTTCTCCGAAATAATTTTTTTTTTGCGGAAATTTTATTTTTAAAACTGAGAAAATGTCATATCCTATGAAAGAGCAACCTCTTCCGGTACCTATCTACAGATTGTCAACTATTTGATAAAAACATATACTTCATATAAAGCGATTCATAGCATCTATGTGAAATTCCGCAGTTCTCCGCAAACCATGTACTGGGGGTGTACATTTGTCGGCAACCTCGACTGAGGTATTTCTAATTATATACAGTATTTTTCGGTTAATTGATCCTACGGTTAATTGGTTTCCACGCTTAATTGAACCACATGATGGTGCAAAAAATATTTCATAGGAAAATACATGTACATTTTCTCGGATAATGAAACCCTCTTAATTGATTTTCCCGCTTAATTGGTTCAAAATTCATGTCATAAAAAAAATTTCCTTTCACTTTTCACCGGTTAATTGCACAATAATAATTGAAAAATAATCTGCAATTTTTTTACATACATATTTGACATAATTTGTGAAAAGACTATGTTTATTGCTAAGGAAAAACTTCGACAAAGCGTAATTTGTATTTGACGTTGGATTTTTTTAAATCATTAGTAGTTCCAATTATACGTGATTACTGTATTTGAACAAACTATTTAATTAAGCGGGTTCGGATAATTGGTTCCTCAGTTAATTGAACGAAAATTTGTGCAAATTTTTATGTGCAATTAACCGAAAAATACTGTATAAGAACTTTATACTGAGATTTTTAAGCATATTTTGTTAGAGCTAGAAGACGTATAGACGGAAGTCCCTTAACAATTAGTCCATAGCTGGAATATCTATCTTAATTAAAGACTTTCCGCATGTCTTCTATGTATGGTTCGTTACAGGTCGTCTACAGACAGGAGATATTATATAAATCTTCTATAGAGTTTCTACATGTGCTAAACTTTATACAGCTTTTCAAGTGCTTGGAGATCTTCTGTAACAGAGGATATTTAATTTCCAAAATGTCGCTAATCACGTCTTAAAAAAAAAAATCTGATACATAATCTATCGGTAGAAGATGTTCATATCTCGATAGTTTCTAGAAGTCTTCCATTGAAAATTGTGTGAAGGTATTCTATTTTTGATGTCTTCCAATGTGTATTTTATAGCTAGAGAAACTTTCTCGAAGTCCTTTACTATATTGTCATATGTTTTGCTCAGCTAATATGACTTGTATTCTATAGATGAAACACATTTCTGAGGTCTTTATTTAAAGATAAAAGACCATCTAGATGTCTTCTATGAAAGCTCTGCAGCAGATAATCTATAGACAGAAGACATTCTACAAGTCTTAAACTTAAGATCTTTGAGATATCTTATCATACAGATGACCTAATGGAGGTCTTCCATATTTTGAAGTCTTTAAACAGAGGTTTTCAGGAGGTATTCTATATTTATAAGTCATCTTAAATGTCATTTATAGCAAGAATAACATTCTAGATATTTTCAAAATTTTCCCTGCACTCCTTATAAACAGCTGTTGTATATTCTTATAAACATTTTATGTACTTCACTAATCAACTTTCCATTTCATTTAATGAGCTTTAATAATAAAACCCTACTTCCCTCCCTCTTAATTGATAACAATTGTTAGAGGGAATCATAAATTTAACTTTCCTTAAAACGTGCCCCAACCAAAACAATTTCCAATTAGCTTTGTCATAAAATAATTTCTAATCAATCTGAATTTTGAATGCGATTTCATTTTCAAACGATCGTCATTAAAAACACACAAAAAATGTTACAAAAATTTGCATGACATCTTGAAGCCACATTTACATTACCCGCATCCAGCGGCAGCAGCAGCAACAAAAATACCCAAATGAGATGAAGATATAATAAATGTATCCATAAAAAAACAAGAAACAAAGAAAAAAAGAGCGAAGTAGTTTAAAACTAAACGTATAAATCGTGCATAATAACACGAAATTATCATAATTTTCCACAACAGAAAACATGAATAACCAATGACTCTGACTGACTGACTAACTGACATAAATGGAATGGATGAACTGAAAGAAAGCTGGCAAAAATCTATGAATGTAACTGCTCCACAACAACAACAGCAACTATTAAATAGCAACAACACATTATTGAAATGAAATATGGAGTCATATTAAAATGAAATGGAAAAACTAACTAAACTACCAACAAATATCACCATGCCACACAACAATTGCATTGTTGTTGTAAAACCACCACAACAACAATGATGATCATCAGAAAAAATTGACAATAGAAAAGTGATTAAAGGAAATGGGGCTGGAGGAAAAACGACTAAAAAAACACCTAAAGTCAAACATGATTATCCGGCCACTACCACCACCACATTAAACTTTTTTAAAACGTGTACAAAAAAATAAACATGCCAGTTTGTCTGTCAGTCCGCCTGCCTGTGGAAGTAAACATGCATTCACATTATGCTTTCGAGCATGGCTACATCTAACAAAGTTTGTTTGCCATTGTTACAAATCATTGCAGCATATCGGTCAAACTTTCAGTCGGCATGCAAAACTGACTAACTGACGACGCATATTCTGCTTAGTTTGGAGTAGGGAAAATATGGTTCATGGTAGATCAAGTCGAGTCCATAATAAACAAATTTCGAGTTTATTTGTTGTGTGCAGATAATGTTAAGACCTAACCGAAGTATGGTAACGACTTTGAAAAGATTGCCAAAAAAGGAGATAGGTGTGTGTTTTACGAAAGAAGGCATTAAGTCAAAAGGACATACCATGTATTACTTTACATAAGTATTTCTTATCCTTATGCAAATAATTTGATATACAACTTATAAACCAAATGTTATGGACTATTTGAATTGGGATACCTTCCCAATGTTATCATCACAATTTCGATATTTGGTGGAAACAATTTAATTAAATATAATATAAGTGAAAGAATGTGGACAGAATCGAAATACCCTGGAAAGGGATAGACTCAAAATTAACTTTCATGGAACATCTTGACAAAAGGATGACCGAATTCCTACGACATTTCGTTGATCTTACATCAGACCCATAAATGTCGGATTTTTAAAGAATTTTCACTTATGTCTCGAAAAAAATTTGTAACTAGAGAGAATTTTAGAAGTCATCTTATCTTATATATATATATATATATATATAATATTTAGAGGTCGCCTTATTAATTCATCGTCTTACATGATGTGTTCTGTTGAAGTCCTGCTACTGTTTCTATATCACAGATTATTCATAACTGCACGATTCGTATCAAAAAGACCTTCTAAAAGTCTTCTACAGAATGTCTAAATATTTCGATTTGCAAAGTTTGGATCAAAGCTGGGAAAAGTACTAGGAGTGGGTCAACGGGTTCGATATTTAAGCCTGAAATTGGTATATAGATTTACAAATTTTCAAAATGTTTACCTTTGTCGGGGAGGTACTAGAAGGAGTAGGTCGATAGTCCCACCTTCCAACATTATACAGGCATGGGTAAAATATTCGATTGTACAAAGTTTAGTTTAAATCGGACTATCCGCATGATATTATAAAATTAATTTTCAGTAACATTTTGATAATTTTGTGGGGGAGCAACCCGAAGCAGTGGACCGGTGGCTCACATTTTCCAAATCGAATTAGGTTTGAAATAAATATTATAATATGCATATTTAGCATCAAATCGGATATTCCACACCATTTGTATTGGAATAACAAATTAAAAAATGGCAGTGTGGGGAGAAGGAGTAGACCCATCTTCGGACATAATCTAAGTAAGGTAAAAATATTACGTTGTGCAAAGTTCCGATAACATTTGATGTTCGGTTCGCTTCATATGAGATGTACAAGTTTTTATAATTGTTACCCTTTGTGGGGGAGGTACTAGAAGAAGTGGTTCGATAGGTCCCATCTTTCAATTTTATACAGTCATGTTTAAAATATTAGGCTCTGCAAAGTTTAGTTTAGCCCGTTCACGTCATATTAAAAAGTAAGTTTTCAGCAAAATTTTGACCATTTTGTGGGGGAGAACTCGATCTATGTTAGAATAACCATTTGCAAACTTTAAATGAAATCGATTACTCTATTCGAGAGTTATTGTGCGCACCAGGCGGCTAGACAGACAAACGGAGGGGCGGACATGTGAAAAACGACTTCAAATTGTCTCAAAACCGGATTTGGTCCAAAGAATCAATGGGTCTAAAACAAATATTTTGTTTTAGCCATGTGGCTGAGCATATAAAAATGTTGACCATTTTTTGGGAAGGGTATGAGAAGTATTTGACCGATATATCACATATTCCAACTTATTATGATTATTAAAATGTTTACCATTTTTTGCGGTTTTAAATACCGATGGATTTCATTTTCAGACTTAATATATGTCTGTTAAAAATATTTACATACTATTTTAGAAAATGTTGCCGCTTTGTGGGAAAGGTATGGGTAGATTTGAACCGATAGTTTCCATCGCCTGAAGATGGGTCCCAGTTTCACATTCGATCTAAGGTTTGTAGGAAATCTTACGATATACAAAGCTTGTACCAAATCACATCGAGAGTAATTTTTAAATCGATTTTAAATATTCCGTAACGGATTTTTTCTAAAGGCACTTGGGGTCTAGAAACCAATAAGGCACATTGTTGATCTATCCAATTGTATTTACCTTCATTAGCATTGATGTTAAAGGACGACCTTTTTAAATCGACTCCAAATTGTCTAAAACAGTTTTTTTCTGAAAGAAACACAAGTTTAAACCTATTTTTTGGATAAAACGGATGATGTAAAAAGTATCCGCTAAGGTGTTTCAAAAGCAAGCTATGTCTGTTAAAATTACGATAGAGATCGCAATATTAAAGGTAATGCTTTAAGGTTATGTATACACATTGCTAATACTGCTGGAATATTTAGTGGACCGATATATTCGCCCATGTTTAGGTAGGTTATAGTCGGGCAACCGAAAGGGCTGTACATTGGAAACTGATGTACATATGCCGAAAATGATCAAGGATATAGGTTGAAGATGTAAGCTTCATTTGCCAAACATAGGTGGCTCTCATTGGGTTTTTGGACAGTGAGAAATATTTTTACCGAACTATTATAATATAGATGCCTTCATATAAAATGTCCCACCTCATTTTCGGTATTTTTTAAGTTTTAGTCGGATTTTCTCACCGAAATTTCCGAACATCGCGAAATTTTACATGGAGAAGGCGATCGGGTCAAATCATTTGCATTACTGTTATGATAAAGATCGGTCAATATTTAGCGGGTCAAATGAATCCCGACCTTTGTGTGAAGTTTTGTGATAAGTCGATAGTATTTCCAAAGAGGAGTGGTTGATCTTTAAAGTGATACCAATTATATTACATAATATTTACAGGTGTCTACGAATTCAGATATTATTTAGTAACCTATTACCACATTAGAGTGCGGTAATGTCGCGCTGATAGCTGTGAAGTTCCAGTTATGGTCTAGGACAACGCCTATAATTTTCGGTGATAAATAGATAATAATTTGTAGTTGATATTTTTTGTGTTTTTTTCGAGTTTGTTCTACAGGCCGGCTGAACATGACACGGATTTTACATTTTATGAATTTTATTTTATATCTAATATCCATAATTTCTATAATTTGTATCCACACAAATCGCAGTACAGCGGCGGGAACTGTATTTTCTTTTATCACTTCAAAATGTTAAGTATTCAAATTAATCACCTAATTTGTTTACAATATTAGATGAGTCACAATTAATTTTTGTTTCCATGGAAGAAAGATTAAATAAAATATTTCGAAAAATCAAATAAATTTTCAAACTTAAACAGCTAAAAAATGTGTACTTACAATTATCATCATGATCCTGTGGTCCATCGCACGACGAAAATATATCATCCATGTGACATGATCGTTTGGGATATTTACGATCGAGTGGTGTCACTTCAAAATCTTTCGCACCAATTTCTGATATTCGGCACTGTATATAGCCCTCGACGGGATCACGGGCCCACACAAGTTGTGTGTCCATTTTGCGAACTGGAAATACAGGAAGAGATAAAAACAAAGGTTAAAAAAACTATTTCCAAAACATGTTAACAACCAACAATCAAATTATACATTTTATTTTTAAAATTCCAGTGAAACGAACAAAAAAAAAAAACGCACAGAGGAATGCCGAAAAAAATGATCAGAGATACTTCTGTGGTACAGAGGAAGAAAAAAATAATATAATGAACAAACAAAAGCAAAACACAACACAAATTTTGTAATCTTATCAAAGAAATGAATTCAACAAAAACAACACCAACAACAAGTGAATGTGTGTTGTATCGTAAGTACCCAACAAGTATCTAAGTCGGTAGGTATGCATGTACATATGTACATACGAATGTATGTATAAATGTTTGTATGCCAGTAAATGAAAAGTAATGTCAAGTCTATATGGCAGGTGACACAGCTGATGAAACAAGAAGTCAAAAACAGAAAAACACAACAACACCATCAACTAAGTAATCATCAAATGTTCGTTCGATCATTTAATTTTTTTTCGTTCTTTCTCTTTGATTCTTTTCTAACTTCTTCTCATGTCATTTCGTTTCATTTACGATTTTTCTTTATATTCCATTCACTTCTCATCCATTCTTCATTTTTTTGGGAGAATGTTTTCTTACCGGTATATTTTTGTTAAATTAAAAAAATGAAGAAAAAATAAAACAAAAAACACTACAACAAAATAGATTTCCTTAAACGTAACAAAACGAAATAAATTGTTAACCGGCGAACGTATAAATTTAGACTAAATGAGCCACACAACTCTCGGGTAATAACAACCCAACAGGCAGGCAGCTCTACCTTCATCGATTCAGCGGAAAGAGAGTTAATTTTTGTTTCTAGTGTTTTGACGGGTTTTTGTTCTGAGTCACACACACCCGTACGCACATACACAAAATGCAATAGAGAGGAGTCATATCATGAATTTATTTGTTGATATCAACAAAGAAAACTGGTTGAGAGTAAATTATTTACTCTGAGTGAAAGAACAACGTCATCATTGCTCAGGTAGTTAATCGAGAGATACAAAAATAACAAGAAAGAGAATAGTTTGAGATTATGTTTACAAATGTTTGTTTGGGAGTACAATCAGATTATAAACCGGGGAGTTAATCAAAATATACACAAACAGTAGTTTTATACGACGTGGCTACAGGTAATTTAAAGTAGAGTTCAAAGAAACTAAATTAATCGAAATGTAAATATTGTCCAGATTTTTAATAAAATTACATAATTTCAGATTATTTCTCCCTTGATTGTTAGAATAGGAATTGAGAAGAAAAACAATCATTAATAAATCCAAATTATAAAATAAATGGAAAGCATATTGAATTCTGCCAATTTATTGAATGATTTAGGCATGAACAAAAAGAATGCTGGATTTCCTAATCTTTCCTATGATCTAGACAGATGTGCCCGACTGGTGTTTCCATTATAATAACAAATAAATGAACAAAGTAAAGACCACAGCTATGGACTAATCGCCCTCATCGATATAACCCTCACTAACATGGACGACTCTGGGGTAAGGAATTGGGAAGTATCTGAGAAATGTTCATTTTCGGACCATATATTGATATTTTTCCAGATTCCCACCTCAGGAGGAAAACATAAGCCTTATAGGAATCATCGGAAGACAAACAGGAACAAATTTAAAGCCAAAACAGCATCCTCAACAATGTCACGGACACTCTTTTGAAGAGCTATAATGTCCTTTAACGTGCCCTGGGAAGAGATCTCAGCCAGTATGGTGGTCACAAAATCTTGTATTCTTGAGGAAGGCTGCAAGGAAAGCATATAATAGAGCTAGTAAGACAAAAATAAGTACAATAGGTACAAGAGTGGAATAAAGAAGGCTAAACGTGAGTCTTGGGCCTGCTATAGTGAGTCAATCGAAGGAGTTAACAAAGCGGCCAGATTTCGAGGAATACTATCTAAAGATCCAAAGTCTATAGGTAGTATTAAGCGAAGTGGCGGGACGTAGAAAAACTCTGGTAATGAGATTCTTGATCTTATATCTTTAACCCACTTCCCTGACGATGTGCAGTGTACGCATCGGTTTATGGTTCGAACCAGGGAAGAGGAGAAGCTGATAAAAAACACTATAAGCTACCCAAAACTGGTATGGGCGATAAATAGTTTTCAACCCTACAAATCCCCAGGCCCAGATGATATAATAACAGCCATGCTGCAACACGCTGATGAACGATTATTAGCCACTCTGCAAGTCATTTTTAGGGCTTTCCTACTCTTATCGTACATACCTAGCCTATGGAAAGAGGTAACAGTTACCTTCGTCCCGAAAGCCGGGAAACCGAGTCATACGCTACCAAAGGATTACAGACCGATTAGCTTCTCTTCCTCTTTACTCAAGACTTTAGAAAGGTTACTAGACTCAGAAATTAGGAACACTATTGACCCAAACAATATTAGCAACTCCCAGCATCGAAAGGCAAGTCAGTGGATATAGCCTTACATGAGGTGGTTGGACGTATCGAGAAGAATATGGAGTCATCCGGCTACACTTTCGCTGTGTTCCTCGATATTGAAGGAGCTTTCAACAATGTGAAGCTATAGGCTATCCATTCTGCTCTCGTAAGACCAGGTATCCACTCACTTCTAACTGGTTTGGATTGATAGAATGCTGGAAAGCAGAATTACAACTCGTCCTTAGTAGAGAGTTCCGTGAGGAAATCTGCCAACAGAGGTACACCACAGGGAGGAGTATTATCTCCTCTTCTATGGCTTCTAGTGATAAATGAGATACTGCTGAAATTCGATCATCTTAACATAGAGGTTGTAGCCTAAGCCGATGATGTAGTCTTGCTGGTTGGTGGAAATTTTCTAATGACAATTTCAGATATTATGGAGGGCGCCCTTTCAACTCTGTCCAACTGGGAACACGCCAAGGGTCTTGGTGTAAACCCAACTAAGACAGAATCGGTGCTCTTCACTAGGAAACGTAAGATTCCTAGTTTCCGCTTGCCATCTTTTGGAGGAGTGGCCGTATCCCTTTCTGAAGAAGCAAAATACCTTGGTAGAATCCTTGACCGCAAATTAAAGTGGAATGTTGAGGAACGCTCTAAGAAAGGACTGATAACACTCTAATCTTGCGAGAACTGATAACATTCTACTCTTCAACGCTTTAAAGTCGTGAACTATTAACTCCAAAGCAGTTCTTGATTGCATGGCTGCTCTACATGATATACGACGGATAATTAATTTATATTGGGTTCCAGGACATACCAACATAGAAGGGAATGCTCGAGGGGGTTCACAGTCGTCCAACTGGTATGTGCAACCGCCCATTGGCTACTTCATTGGCAAAATCCGCTTGATCTACGACGAGGCCAAGACCCCAATCAGATCCTAGGCTTTCAATAATTTAGCATGACTGTCCAACTATTTCTCCACTCTTCCATTTTTTTCCTTTCCCTTTTCTTTTCAGGTATCAAGGATGATCACAATGGACAATTGTCTCAGTGAACGGTTGTAATTAGCAACCGTACATCCCTAACCTATTCTATGGACTAATCGCAACGAAATTTAGCATGTAATATCGGATCTCCAAGTCGTTTTCTTCAATAGCGAAAAAACGATTGACCATAATCTGCGAATTGACGGTGACAATCACACCTTCAGATCAAAGAGAGCACCAATCAATGTCCTTTTCTGGATGTAATGGCTTCTCTTTTTTTTGTAAAAAAAAAAATATTTTTGAGTTTTATATGCGAAATTTTCGATGATTATCTATAAATTACGGATGATTTTCACTTTCATTATATACACCAGTCCCTTCTGTTTAATTAACATTTCATGTTAATATATTGATACATGTCAATGTTATATAAAATTTTTCAAACATAAATTATATTCACAAAAATGTCAAATTTTGACATTAACCTTATGTCATTTGAAAACCGCGCCCTACAATTTTATAAAATTTTACTGGTGTAAAGCTCAAAATCCTCAGATTTCAAATATATAACGTTGTATCGGCTCTGCATGAAATTGACTTTTTGTCAAAAATTGGATTCCTGGCCCATAGTGTGATGGAATGAAGTTACAATAGATTAATGCGGTATCCATACCACTGTGCCTAAATAGTATATAGATAAACCCTTTGTTTCCATCATCATAACAATTACAACACAATTAATTTATTCCGGTGTTATTCTCAGCACGTAAATTTTGTTACTCTCTAAAAACAACAACTAAACTTCAAAAGGTAATGCATTTCAGAGAGTGAATCCGTGACAGATTTTATAGACGTTATTTATTGCCAGACGATTCTAGCAGACGAATCTACCTATAAAATCGTCTAAAACATAAATATAACTTTTAGTTAAAGAAAGAAGAGAGTTGTGCTCTAAGATCTCATAAAAAACAATCAATAACAACAAAATGGTAAATCAAAGATACACTCTCTGCTCAGTTACTATTGAGAAGAGCATAATAGTAAATGGAGAGTTAGTTCTTTTCAACTCTTTTTTTAATCGTTCATGAAACGTCACAGTTCTACGTGGAACATAATCATAGACTAATGAAGATATAGACGACGAAATACTCAAAAAATGCGCGGTCAAGTGACTCAAAACAAAAAACTCAACAATTTTTAAATACGTTTTTTGGGGAAAATGGCATATTTTTCTTCAATGTTTTTATCTGAGGATATAGTTTTTGCTTAAAACTAACTATATTTAGTGGCATTCCAAATTAAAAGGTTAAAATATTTAAGTAAATCAGCATTTAAAATTGAGTAGCGCATTCAGCTGACTCAATTCAGAGAGGACTGGTGAGAGCATTTCGTCGTCTATATCTTCATTAGTCTATGACATAATGTCGATGGGAGTGATTCATGCGAATGTTTGGTTGGTTCTTCGGTGATTTTTTTTTTTCATTGGGTTCAACACTGGAAACCCATTAACCTAAACCGTTTCACATGATAACAGGGCAGTAAATGAAACAAAAAAAAAAAAAAAATAGAAAGAATT